AATAATAAAATAACTTTTTTAATTAAAGGTAATATATAATAAAAGTATAAAAGTTTAATTTATATTTATTAATTACTTATAAATTACCTTATAATATAATATAATTAGTTAACTTTAAATTATATTCTTTTTAAAGATAAACCTTATATTTAAGATTTTTATAATAATGCTTATATATTAAAGATTTAAATAATAAAAGTTATTATTATTTTATAAATACTTAAGTTATTAACTTATATTTAATAAGCATTTTTAATTAAATTTCGTAATTTAATATTTATATATTAAAATTAAAAGTATTGCTATTTATTAATTTAATTAATAATTTTTATTTTATACCCTACTTTTTCTTTATTTAAATACCTTATTTGCTAATCTTTATAACTTATTAACTTTATTTACTTAACCTTTATTTTAATAACTTATCCTTTAATTATATTCTTTAATTTCTTTATTTAATAAGCAGCATTAAGTATAGCAAAGCTTAAACTAAGCTAAATTAAGAAATTTTAATTATTTAAAAATTAAATAATTATATTAATAATTTAAGGATTTAATTTAGTTTTTATTTAATTTAAGCATTATAAGCAATAAAAGCATAAATTTATAAAATGCATTATAAATAAAATATTTATATAATAATTACAACCTTTTAAGCTTTTTAATTTTATATAATTAAAATATTTTAATATATATATATACTTAATTAATCTTTTTTTATTAATTATATATTTTAATAAATTAATTAACTTTTAACCTTTTAATAATAACTTAAGCTTTTTTATATGCTTATTTTTTATAATAATATAATATAATGAAATAATAATATATTTATAATTTAACTTATATATATAATTAATTAAGTGCTTTTTAACCTTAAATTTAATTTAACTTAATACCTTTCTTTTTTTATACTTTTTAAAAATAATATATATTTATAAAATAAAAATTATTAATATAAAAATAATAAATATTATTTATATAAAGGATTATTTAAGATTAAGCAACTTTAGCTTATTAAGATACTTAATAAGTAGCAGCCTTAACGTTATATTTAAAATAATTAGCATAGTTAAGCCTTTTACCTTCCTTTCTTTTATAATTAATAATAATTAATTATTATATTAACTAAACATTATATTGCAATATATAACCTAGCTAATATTTATATAATAAAAAAATATATATATTTCTTTATATATATATTATTATAAATTATTATAATAATTTATTTATTTATTATTAAGATAATTATAATACTTTTTAATAAACCTTTTATAAGAAAAATATAATAATCTTTTTAATTATAATATTAAATATAATATCTTTATTTTTTATAATTTTTTATTTAATCTTTTTATTAAATATTTTATTATTAAAATATAAATTAAGTTTATAATTAATTAATATTTTATTTTATATTATATTAATTATAATTACTTACTTTATTATAATTTAAATTTTTATAATATTATATAAAAAAAATATAAAATTTTAAAATATTTAAAATTAATAAAAAAAAAATAAAAAAAAATAATTAATTTTTTTACTTTTAATTAATATATAAATTTATTAAGCTTATATTTATATAATTTCTTTTTAATAATTAATATTAAAATGATTTAAAATATTATTAATTTAATATATTTTTTAAAAATTAAGTTTATAATTTATATAATTAATTTATTTATTAAAATAAAAAGATTTTAATTATTATTAAAAAAATTATTATTATTATTTTTATTATTATTATTTTTATTTATATAATAAAAAACTTAAATATATATTTAATTAAATAAATTATAAATATTAAAATAAATAAAGTTATTATTTTAATTTTAATTATTAAAATTTATTAAATCTTTAATAAAGCTTAAAAACTTTAATTTTTTATTAATATTTTTTATTATTTTAACTTTAATTTTAACTTAATTATTTTTAATTATAAATATAAAATAATTATTAACTTTTTTAATAATAATAAAAATAATATTAAATTTATATATTTAATTATTTTTAAATTTAATTATAATAATTTATTAATTTTATTTATAAAAAAAAGATTAATATTATTTAATTTAAAAAAATTAATTTAATTATTATTATTATTTTTTTTAAAAATAAAAAACTTTTATATAAATATTATTATATTTATAAATAAATTTAATAAAATTATTAATTTTAAATTTAATAAATAATTATTTTATTTAATATAATAATATATTTAATATTAAAAAATAATATATTATTTTTATTTTTATTTATAATATATATATTATAATAATTTTAATTTTATATATTTTTTTATTAATTTATATAAAGTTATTAATATTTTATAATTTTTTAATTTAAATAATAAAATTAATTATAATAAATTTTTAATTATTATTAATTAAAATATTATATATTATTATATAATTAACTTAATTAATTATATTAAAATTTATAATATAATAAAATATAATATATTAATTAATAATAAAATTAATTTAATAATTAATAATATTAATAATAAAATAATAAATATAATTTAAAATATTATAAATAATTTTTATATTATTAATAATATTATTAATATTAATTAAATAATATATAATATATAATAATTTTTATAATTATATAATTATATTTTATATTTTATTAAAAAAATATATAAGCTTTATAAGCTTAAATAATATATATTAAATAAAAAGAATAATTATAAAATATTTTAATTTTATTTTATTAATTTTTTATAAATAAAAAAAGTTATTTTAAAAATTTCTTTTAATAATTAATATATTTATTATTAAATAAATTAATAATTATATAATAATATAAATATATTTTTATAAAAAAAAAGTATATTAATAATAATAATATTTATATAATTATTTAATTAACTTATAAATATATAATTATATTAATTATATTATTAATTTAAATTTTTAAGTTATATTTTATAATTTTATAATAAATTTATAATTATATATTAAAATTTATAAATTTTTATTATTTATATAAATTAAATTTAAAATTTTATTACTTTTTAATATTATTTAATATATAATAATATTCTTTATATATATTTTAAAATAAATTAATTTATAATTATTTTATTTTTATAAATTTATTTTTATATAATTTATATTATTATTTATTTTTTATATAATTTATATTATTATTTATTAAATATAATAAAAATAAATTAAGTTTTATTAATATATTAAATTAAAATATATATTATTATTTATTAAAAATAATAATTAATTTATAATATTATTTATAAAAAAATTCTTTAATATTATTATTATTTTATTTTTTTTATATTAAATATATTAATTAAATTATAATAATATATTTATATATTTAATATTTCTTTAAATTATATATTTATAATAATAAATATTAATATATTATAATTATTATATAATAATTTAATTAATATTATTTATTTATTATTTTTCTTTAATTTATTTACTTTTATTATTTTAAATTTCTTTAATTTATATTAATTACTTTAATATTTAAAAAATTATATTAAAATAAATTATTAATTAAAAAAATTTAATATAATATAAATAAATAATAATAAATTTTAAATAAATTATTATAAATTTATAAAAAATTATAAATTTATAATATTTTTATAATAAATTTATTATAAAAATTATTATATATATATATATATATATATAAAAATAAATTCTTTATATATTTTTTTTAAAATTTATAAAAATATTAAATTATATATTTTTATATTTATTAAATAATAATTTAATTTATTTTTAATAATATATATAAATTATATTTTAATATAATAAATTATTAATAAAAATAATAAAATTATAAATTAAATTTATTATAATATATTTATTATAAATAAAAATAATTATAATGTATTAATTATTAATATTAAATATATATTATATTATATAAAATAATTATTAAAAAAATTAATTATAATAAAATAATATAAATTAAATTAAAAATTAAAAATTTCTTTAAATTTATTTATAAATATAATAATATTTATATAAAAACTTTAAATTTTAAAAAATAAAAAAATAATAATTAAATTAACCTTTTTAAATTATATAATATTAACTTTTTTCTTTATTAAAAAGGTAAATAAATTATTAAGATTAAACTTTAAGATAATTAATTATATAAGCTTAAAGTTTTCTTTATTATTATTAAAGAAGCTAATAATTACTTTAAGATGGGTGCACGGTGAATTCACCATAAATTCACCATGGAAGCGGTAAATTCACCAGGAAACGGTAAATTCACCGTGAATTCACCAGGGAACAATCAACACCACAATGAATGCCTAAGCACCAACATTCACGGGTTAAAAACTAGCCCCCCGCAATAAGCTAAAATGAGAATAAAGGACGATAAAGAGATCATCATAAAAAATCATCAGAATTAACTACATAATACAAGGGTTCTACTATAAGAACGGTGTAGAATCTGACAGCTGTATTTGTCTGCCCAGTCCCCCCCCCCCTTCCATCTCACCAACCATCCGAGATCCTTCTACACCCTCTCCCCAGGCGGTATCTTTACCATCCGCTAGGAATTCACCGTGAATTCACGTAGAAATTATACAACCTGTGGGAATAATGGGCATTTAGCTATTAATTAATAGGGGCCAGGCAAGCCACAGCAGATGAAGTACATGATCAGGATGCCCCAGGTGATGGCCCATTGCTGCCGCGAGGTGACACGGCCACGCTTAGAAGGCGCCTTCCAATACTCCTTCCCAAGCAGCCGCGAAGGGTCACTTCCAAACCTGTAGGCAAGGAGCGGGTCCCAGTCACATTCCTGGGCCTCCCTCTTCCTCCGCCCTCAACCTCAATCTCGTCACCTGTTATTCCCTTCCCTCCAATTCTCGTGTCGGTGTTCAACACCGCGCCCTACCCTTCTTTTACCCGCGTTGATTATTATCCTCGTCGACATTAGTGGATTTAATCGCCGCCATCTTCATCTTGTTACCTGAGTTGCGACGCGCAGCTATGCCAGTCGATTATGCAGCTCGCCGGTCGGCGAAGCTTGCTGCCCAGCAGGCGAGCCTGCCGCCCGAGGAACGAATCGTCAACAGGGACGACTGGGAGGACGCCATCCAAAAGCGGGTGTCGGTCCTAACCAGACAGGCAAGAGTCAACTCGAGAAACGCGTTCGTAGACACCGCCATCGACCCCGCTGTTGGCATCTGTCAAACCCGCGACGAGGCAGAGGCATTCTTCCGGCCTGGTGGGACGCGCTTCACCTGCAAGATACTCAGAATCTTCCTGGAGGCGTCTGCGCTTTCCCGCGATGGTCGCATCGACGAGGTGGTTGCCGCTCGCACTCTGAGGTCGCTCGTGGCCAACCTGTTCGAAGCCGCCAAGGTCGCCGGCAACGATATCGACCGCGACGTCAAGAATGACACCATGCTGTTCATCGAGGGTTCCCTGATTCCAAGGGGCCTAGCTCACACGACGGCTCGGGTGAAGCCAACGCCGATCCCTCGAGACATCACCACCTTCCTGAAGAACCTCTTCGACCGCAGGTTTATGGCGCCGCTCCCGTCCACCCGCGATGTCCTGTTGATTGCCCTGTTCGTCTGCCTCTCAATCGATTGCTCAACCCGACTGAGCGAGCTCGTGATGCCCAGCCTGTCGACCAAGAACACTGCCGCCTACAAGACCCAACACAAGGACAAGCTCTTCACATGGAGCTGCGTCGAGATGTTCGCATTCAAGGACGAGGGGCACCAGAATGTCTACATGCAAGCTCGAATAACCTTCAAAGACCTGAAGAAACCGTTTGGGTTAGGCCCCAATCTCACAAAGACAATCCCCCTGAGGCTTTTGCCGCCTGAGTATGCTGCCGAGGACTCGCTTTTCTGGTTGGTGATTCTCGCCTTAATCGACGACGTTTTTGTCAGCGTGTCATCATGGTCCGACATCAACCGACTGCGGCCGGGGCCCAACGGTATGAAGATCCACATCAAGGGGAGCATGATGCAGGTTCCGGTTTGTTGGACGCCGTCCATCGAGGCGATGTCATCATGGCTGACTTGTATGACAGGTCTTTCGGATTGCAAACCGGCCGCAGTCAAAGAACTGGAGAGTCAAGGATGCCCTGCTCATCAGCCCAGAACCTATGGACTCGACCATGATCCGCGTTCACCTTCGCAGCCTCAGTCGTTTCTGTGGCCTCGAGCACGCCATACTCCCCAGCGTCCTCCGCCGCGGGGCTGCCTACCAGCTTGCCCTCGCTGTCTCAAGCGAGGAGCGATGTGCGCGTATGGGTCATTCAGGTGACGATCCTTCATACTGGCGATATTACCGAAACCGGACGTCGACGGTCGACTTCCAGGCCCGGCGTCATGGAATCGAGGAACGGGATGTCGAGATGATGTCAAGCATGTTCTTGGACAAAGGCTACGGTCGACCACCCCCGGTGCGAGTCTCGGTAGAGGGCATGTCTGAGGTCTACCGAGATCCCGAACTGCTTGCCCTCCTCGCTGAGCAGTCTGCCTTCGCGGATGGGCTCATCTTGCAGCACGGCTCCTTGGAGGCCGCCCGAACCATCGACCCGGACGGCTGGAAGACGTACCAGCAGCTCCGCAACAGGCATAGCAATAAACTCAACTATCTTTCTCAGAAGAAGTTTGACGCCGAGTACAAGGCCTACTGGGAGACGCGCGGGTGTGTCGACTCGGATGCGGCACAGCAACCCATACCCAAGGTCGGCCGGAGCGAGGTCGATCTCCTACTGGACGACCAAGATGCCATGGTCGTCGACGCTGCTGCCCCCTCCGAGGAGGAGATCAGGGAGGAAGCCGAGGCGAGAGATGCATTGTCGGAGCTCGCTGCCTCACTCGACGCCATCGAGGTCGACGACGGATTGGACGTCGTCCAAGAAACTCCAGCAGCAGGCGCGCCTTCGTCCGCCGGGTCGACTGGCTGGTTCGGCACCCGCGAGGTTGCGAGGTACAGTCTTGTCGACGAGGTGGCCAAGCACCTGTACGAACAGCCGCAGGACGCCACATGGGAGTCGTTGGCCGACTACTTCGTCACCGCGTTCAACCACCTCCATTCGGCTGACAGGTTCTTCCCCGGCCAGGAGCCTCTCCCCGGCACATTTGACTGTCGTTTCTGTGGCCTCTACCTGCACAGTGCCCCCGGTGGAATCAGGAATGCCCAAAAGCATGCCTGGAACTGTGAGGCAGAGCGTCTCGCAAGACACGTCCTAGACCAGCTGCGCGCGGGTGATGCCACGGCTCTTTCGGTCTGTCCCATGCTCTGCGTCAGTGTGAAGGATGACACGACCCTCGTCTCCTGCAAGTCCAAGTCGCAGACATCCCAAACATTCAGCCAGCACCTCGCAAAGAAGCACTGCACGTCGACACACTTCGCGTGCCTGAATCACACCCCCGTCGTCGCCACGGACAGTATCGCAGACATGCGCATACACGCCGTTGCGGCTCACCATGCACCAACGAGTATACTGGCATCCAACACACCCAAGGGCGAGCTTTCGGTGAGCGAGATGGTCTACTTTTGCCCGTTCTGCCAGGTGTAGATCCCCAGGACAGAGGAGCTCGAGCATGTCCACATCGGCAGTCACATGGGCGACGCCGTCGAGATCGTCGCTGCACGCGGAATGACCGGCCTCTGGATGAACATGCGTTGGGTTCACCCGTGCTTCTGTCCCTTCTGTCTCTACGATCTTACGCTCGACTATGCCGCACGGTTGCGTTCCTTGGCCCAGCCGCATACGCTACTCGGTCACATCAAGATGCACTTGAATAAGCTGAGCGGTACGATGCCTTGCCCAGCTTCGACGTCGACTCTTGAGGGTTTACCTCAGTGCCCGGAATCGAAAAGTCTCACCTCGGCAGAGATGGCCATTCATCTACGAAGCGCCCACGGGTTTGACATCGAAGTGTCTGGAGAAGACGATTTGGACGACGTCCAACCAAAGAGGAACGGAGACGATCAGCCGAAGAACAAGAGGGCCAAGACTGGCAGTCGTTCCCCGCTCTCAGAAATGGATGGCAATCGGCAGACAGGGTACAATCACAGCGGCGAGAATTGAGAGCTATTATCCCCGAAACCACACCAGAATCTTGTGATGGGTATTTTGCTGGAAGGATTTACGATTAATTGCTGGACATATCATGGCTTCTCTTCTGCTAAGTTTCAAGTCGCTTCAACGAGATAGTTCAATTTTACAATCAATTGAGATGGAAGACAGTTGACTTGAATCCACTTGTGCCAACAGGGCCAAAGGCCGCCAGGCCAGTGGTGGGCTAAGCACAGGGCTTAGCTGGCGAGGCGCCATAGTCTTGCCGCAGTGCACGGGCCGCATTAAATGTGAGGCCTAAGTAAATAATTCACCGTGAACTCGCGGTGAATTCACCGCGTTTATTTACTGCTATCTACCCATCTTTATATATTGTTATTTTCTTAAGCTCTTAATATCGCTAGCTCCTTGCTAAACTTACCTATTATTTATTATAAAGTTTCTTTTTATAAAATAATATATATTTTATATAAAGTATTAATATATAATAAATTTAATAATTTATTTTTAATTTTATCTTTTTTTATTTATATATAATTTCTTAGCTAAATAATATAATTATTTATTATTATTTTAATAATTTTAAAATAATTATAAAGTTATATTAATTATTTTATTTTTAATTTAAATTTATAAATAAATAATTTATTAATTTATAATTAATATTTAAAACTTTATTTTTATTATAATATAAAAAATATATTATAAATTATTACAAATTATTTAAAATAATTATAATGAATGCAAAGGTATATAATTTAATGCCCCCGTGAATTCCAGGAGAATACACGGGGAATTTACCGTGAAAGTACCGTGAATTTGTAATTCCCCGTGAATTTACGGTAAATTCACCTAGAATCCACCATTGCCCATTTATACTGCATCATTATTTACTATTTTTAAAACTTTATATAATATAATTTACTTTATTATTTATTTAATATAATAAAAATAAATTAAGTTTTTTTAATATATTAAATTAAAATATAAATTATTATTTATTATTTTTATTATAATTAATATATTAATTAAATTATAAAATATATTTATATTAATAATATTTTTTAAATTTATAAATTTAAAATAATAATTATTAATAAATTATAATTAATATATAATTATATAATTAATATTAAAATATTTATTATTTTTTTTATTATTTATTTATTATATATTTTTAAAACTTTCTTAATTTATATTATTTACTTAAATATTAAAAAAATATATATAAAAGTAAATTATTAATTAAAAAAATTTAATATAATATAAATAAATAAAAATAAATTTTAAATAAATTTCTTTTAAATTTATAATAAATATTAATATTTATAATATTTTTATAATAAATTTATTATATATATATATATATATATATATAACGTAGTTTATTAAGTAATAGCTGGTATTAAATAGTGGTTAATTTTTTTTTATATATAAAAAACGTTTATGCATGCTTTTTTATACCTTAATAACTTCTTTAAATTAAGCTTAATTAAGATATAAATTTAATCTTATATTTATAATTATAAAATTAAATTAAGTTCTTATTTTTAAGCTTATATTTAAATCTTTTATAAAGATATTTTTATATAAAGAAATGTTAATAAATAATAATATAGCTTTTAGTATTTATTAACGTATTTACTTTAGTGTATTTCTTATAAAAAGGTACTTAATTAGCTATTATTTAATACTAGCTACTACTTAGTAAACTATGTTAAATAAATTTCTTATATATTTATTTTAAATTTATAAAAATTATTAAATTTTATATTTTTAATTTTATTATAAAGATTATTTTTAAAATATATATTAATTTTACTTTATAATTTTAAAAAGTTTTTAAATTTATATAAATAATTTAAAATTTTAAATAAAATAAAATTTAAAAAGAATTAATAAATATTATATTTTTTAATTCTTTTTATATTAAAAATTTTAATATATTATATCACATATATCTTCGCCATGGCCGGCATCGGCAACGGCAACCTGGTGTCCTCGGGGATCAACTATGTCATTAACGTCGTCATGACCGTCCCGGCCCTGATCTGGCTTGACCACTGGGGCCGACGCATGCCCCTGCTCATCGGCGCCTTCTTCATGTGTCTCTGGCTGTGTGTCAACGCGGGTCTCTTTGCCGTGTACTCGCGGCCTGCACGCCCCGGCGAGTTCCCGTCCGACGCCGAGTCGATGGCCATCTCCGGACCCGCAGCCAAGGCCGTCATCGCGAGCACGTACCTGTTTGTCGCGTCGTACGCTCCCACCTGGGGCCCCGTGTCGTGGACATACCCCCCAGAGCTGTACCCGCTGCGCCTGCGAGGCAAGGCTGTCGCCCTGGCCACCAGCGGCAACTGGGCCTTCAACTTCGCGCTGGCGTACTTTGTGCCGCCCGCGTTCAAGAACATCACGTGGCAGACGTATGTCCTGTTCGCCGTGTTCTGCTTCGCCATGTTCTGGCACGTCTTCTTCCTCTTCCCCGAGACCGCCAACAAGACCCTCGAGGAGGTCCAAGCCATCTTTGACGACACCAGGCCCGGTGCGATCCGCTTCATCGGTACTCCGGCCTGGAAGACTCACAATGTGCGCCACGAGACCATCCTGAAGGAGAGGAACGAGCTGGGAGATGAGGAGAAGATCACAGCCATGGCGGCCCATGAGGATGAGCCTCGAAGGGATGTTGTTGAGCACAAGGACTAGAGGTCTAATTCTTGGGGCGTTTGGAGTGACAAGTTTGTTGATGTGCCCCTGGCGGTGAGTCCCATTGGGGACGACCTGCTTGGTCACATTGGATTTGGAGAGGAGGACGTTATGAATGATGAGTGGGAGGATGTCGACCTCGATGCCGAAGAGATGAGCATCAACGCTGCGAGGCCTTGGAGGGAGGAACTCGAATGAGTGGGTGGGTGAGAGAGAGAGAGAGAGAGAGAGCACCTGACTGGGTCAGGAATACCTTGGATACTAATGTTGGATACGCCTGCGCGCCTATCCTTTTGGATACGAATAATGCCATGTGCCATAAGGAAGCAGATAGGAGGCGACGAACGCTCGACGATGGTATATTACGACCACTACTCCATACTTTGCTTAGTTTATACCCAAATACCTACCCTGAAATTCCGCCAATGCAGCTCCCTTAATGCGCTGTTCCATTCTACTTCTACTTGTACCAATGACACGGTAGGACCCTTTGGATCTATTTGGGCCTATAAATGTGCCACGCTTGAAGCCAAAGTTGGGACGAGCACAACGTGTAAAATATAACAATGGTCATGACAACCAGGCGTGAATGACATCCAGCCTCACTATATCCGACTTGATTTTTCATAGTTGCAACGACTGCCATTTTTCTGAAATAGCAATGGCGACTTTCGACATGGTGGCCACCTTTAACCTAGAAAATTGCTGTCTTGTGCTCCATAATGGAATTGTCCCCGCCCAGGCAGTCACTAGCATAGATACACAGGGGTCAGACATACACTTTCTACCTTTGTTTTGAAACAGCCAAATAGAAGTATGAATCTGTATGATACCGGGGAAGGGCTGATTATAGATGAGTTCCACCCTCCCCGGTAAAGAGAATCTGCTAGTGTATCCCATAACGGCTAGCGGTCCCATTGCCAAGAAATTAATATCTTTAAACAACTTTATTACTCTTAAAATAAAGATTTACTTTAGGCTGGCAATTAAATTTTAAAAGGGCTGGCTAGGGCAAATGTTAGATTCTACACCATTCTCATGGTGGGATCCTTGTAATATGAACCTATGGGCATGTCCTTGGCGGATCTGAGAAGAGTCGCGTGCGACGGTCAGGTGCCGCTTGAGCTGCTCAAGCCCATGCTGCCGTTCCTCCTCGCGGCTCTCGACTTCCTCAGGAGCATACCAAGGCTAACATGGTCCACACTGGTAGGTTAATACCTTTTTTGGCAGATAAAAGCATCGATTACGGGGGTGGTGGCACACTTTTGAGGCTACCAATTTGCTGATACGTCACGCAGATATTCAGGAAGGAAATATCATATTCTCTATAGAGGACGAGTCGGAGCTCAAGGCTATCGAAGAAGATGAAATAAGCGAGCCCTCTGCTCGAAAAGTCCACGGGGGCGAAGCTACCTTTTTGACCCGCCAGGTCTATACAGAGATCGGCACCCCGAAGCTGATTGACTTGGGGGAGGCTCGCTTCGGGCAGGATACCTATGCCGAACAGGTCATGCCGGATCTTTACCGGGCTCCTGAGGTACTTCTGGGGTTGCCGTGGGATGAAAAGATTGGCATCTGGGCTTTGGGGTTGACGGTAAGCAGCTGCTTTCAATGCACCAAGGACGCATTTTTCGACTGACATACTTGCCAACTTGAAGATATGGACTGCTGTTGAAGGAGAAAACTTGTTTTCACCGATAATAAGGGTGGTCGGTTGAAGTCGGCCCTACCGCATACGGCGCGTATGATCAGTCTCCTTGGGCCACCGCCACAGAGCCTCCTCGAAAGGAGCGAGAAGACCAATCAGTTCTTTGGCAAGCATGGTATGTATTCTGTCATCGACCACTCATGATAATCTCTCTCTTGCGACAGAGGTGTTGAATACGTTAGAACCCAAGACTCACATTTACACATAGGGCAACTTAGAAAGGGTCAGAAAGTAATGAAAACCTCACTAGAAGAGGAGGAGAAGCTTCTCGATGGAGAAGAGAAGACGGAATTCCTGCGATTAATTCGGCGTATGCTGCAGTGGGACCCAGCCAGCCGGCCCTCTGCCACGGAGCTCGTAAATGACCTGTTTTTGCACATAAAATCCGACACAGGACGAGAGGAAAAGAGAAAAGAAGAGGAAGAGGGCAAGGGTTGAAGTCTGCCAGCTAAAGCTTATTACCTATTACGGTCGATATCATAGGCATCAAGCCAATTTGTGATACCGCAGCCTTTCGACGTAGTGATACCGATTCGGGAACAAGCCAGCTGACGATCCAACGCACCAATATCTCAGTGTCTGATACGGCCATGTTCATCCTTGGTCTCCTTGGTCTGTCTTCTGTAATAGCTCGACACACCTACAGATCGGCCATTCATTTCCGGGATTCACCAGCCAGCCAGTCACATTTCCTTATTCATGTGCTTGCGGAAATGTGGCCCAAAGCCTATGAGCATGTCGTCGAGGATACCCCTTCCGGTAATGAGATGCCTCTCTTCTCACTCGCACTCACATTGTATTATCCATGCCAACATGCACGACACGAATAAGAGGAAGTTTATCGTTGCTTGCATCCCGGCAAACCTGGGGCCCCGCGATCGTTGACTCCGCACCAATGTCCCTACATGCGTGATGCGGAGCCTGGTAGAGGGTGGGGCGGGCGAATATCATCCAGGTTCTAGACTTACCTTCTCAATTTCATCTCTTAGCCTATGTCTCAAATCACAATGGGCTATGAAAACACGCCAGTTGTTTTATGAAAGCGGTGAAAGGCCCAAGTCGAATCAGTTTGGCCGGCTCTGGGCCTTGTCTCTTCCATGTATCGGTATCTACCCGAGGACTCGGTGTCCTTGCAACTTTAAGTTTCTTCAATTTCTGATTCCTGTGAGCCTTGAGCCTCGGTCAGACCCTTTCCGTATAGAGATGTCTGCCGGCCTGCCGTCGTCTTCTTTGAAGCAGGTCAAGAGCAGGTGCATGCCAATCATCCAAGAATCTTTGTTCAAGTAGCAGTACAAACAAGAATTCTAACACAACGTCCCTGCCTGCAATTAGGCACAGGTGTGTGAGAATTTCCTGCGAGCGCCATAGGAAGTCTTCCATCTGGAGAGTTGATCGCATAATTTATAAGCGGACGTCTGGGATACTTGGCATGTATGCTTTGACACTGGTCAGGTAAGAGTGCTGGAGTCCCTACATGGCCAAGTAGAAGAATTGATCACCTATCAGAGATTCCTGAAATATTTACAAGAAAGTTGGCTTCTATACTCTTCTCACTTCGGAGCTCATCAGTCACCAGTGTGCCATGATCCATATCCCTCCTTAGGACTTGCCTAAGAGGCTAATTACACGCAGGGAAGAGGTGTTGAACCCCCCCCCCCCCACGGAATTAGCGGCCCGCCAGAGATTATCTCTAAGTTTAATGTAGGAAGTAAAGTTTTTAGAAGGGTTTTAGGATTGTGGAAATTGTATCGAGACATTTTTCGAGTGACACTAAGATATCCCTTGCAGGGCCGGAGACGGAGCACGGAGCTTCTCCATATCGATGGTCACGCAACCCTTGTGGGGGTTCTAGACTCGTTACACATGGGATGGTTTGCGACGTGAGGGGGACTAGAGAGGGGGAATCTCAATTTTATCCCATGGTTCTAAAGTCCAGCAGAACAAAAACGTACGCTGGAGTCGGAATAGCCACGGAAGACCCCGTCAGGAGGTTGTTCAATCAGTCAGGCTCCAACGGCTGCATGTGCATGGAAGGGCGGTCCGAGTCAGGGTTCACAAGTCACCTTGCATGCAGGAACGTGTGTCCTTCTGTCGGTGGGCGGCCTGGACTGTTCGGGGTATATTTGTTCTGCAGTGACCTGTACGTCCGAGTTTACGTGGTCGAGTGAGAAGCCCGGACAGGTGTCGGGGATGCAGGGAAATGCGAAGAAATGCAAGTAGATGCAAGGGGATCCGTAGTTTTTCATGGGTGCACTTGCACTGGTGCGACTTGATGCCTGTGTGCTTGGGCGTGATGAGTGGCTGACAGTCAGCACATGGGTGCTATCTGGGAGGGTTGACAGACGTGACGGGCAGGATACTGCAGTGAGACCCGGCGAGAGGGAGGAAGAGGAAGAGGAAGAATAAGTAGCCCACCGGGGGGATATTAAGTATATCATGCAGCCCTGACCCGGCCCATGAGACAGTCCGACAGTAAATCAAAACAGACCAAGCCACATCTGCAACCCGAAGAAGAGAACAACAGCTCTCATTGCCGTATACCAGACAAACAACAAGACCCCGCTGTTTCAGTCCTTCTCTTGGACCGTTCAAGACATCCGACCATGCTTCCGGCCCCGCGGCCCGCACCTAAATTTAGTGGACGAGGCAGGCCAGACGAGAGAGTGTCTGCCGCAGCAGCGGGCCCAGGCGACCGGGTCTGGTGGCTGCTGGCCCAAGCTCAAGATTTTCAGACTCATCAGGTCGTGCCAGCCAATGCCCAGGCCCAGGCCCAGGCCCAGAAACGCCAGACAGACCCGCCCGGCCGGCAGCAGCAAAACTAGGCCCAAGACGGCCGATCTTGTCTCGTCCTGTACCAACAAATAATAACCTGACCATTTCTACAGCTCGACCTCAGCGTCGCTTTCTCACCTGACTGGACCGACCACCATGGCACAAACGGCGACATCATAATGCTGCAGCAAGATCTCCTCGACACTCTGTTTCTGAATCGAAAGGCACTGGCGGACGTTGGAGGGGGCGAGGCTGGCGCAGGAAACGTCCACACCAACACGGAAACACACCACCAGACTCGCGCCACCGAGGGAGGCAACAACAGGACGGTGACAGCTCTCGCGATGAACAAGGACATGGGCGGGCCAGGCGGGCCCGGCGAGGAGAAGTGCCCCGTCGACCACCGCAGCAGGGAGGCATGGATGGCGCAGGCAAGAGCTGCACAGGAGGCACAGGAGACACAGGCGCAGGCACAACCAACGACACCCCAAGCCTCGAAACCCACGAGCTCTGCATGGCAATGGCCACGGATCCCATTCCTCTCCCCCAGCACATCTCCCTCTACGACACCGACAAGAACGGACCAATCATCACCACAACAACCACAAAAACAAGAACATCTGCGCCAACAGCTCCCGCAACATCGGGCAGACGGCAGCCTCGGCACAGACCGCGTCATCTCGACCATCCCGCGCTCCCAGTCGGCCGGCGCGACGAGCAGCGCCTGCCCCGTCAACCACGAGACCGAGACGGGCGCCGACGCCAAGACGGGCAACTGGGTCTACCCGAGCGAGAAGATGTTCTTCGACGCCATGAAGCGCAAGGGCCACGACACCCGCGCCGGCGACATGAAGACGGTCGTGCCCATCCACAACGCCGTCAACGAGAGGGCCTGGAAGGAGATCCGCGAGTGGGAGAGGCCGTACGCCACCGAGACGTAGGTTTTTCCCCCCCCCCCCCCGTCTCTTTGCAGTGGTTACGTTGTAAAACAAGGCAGATGTAACCATGAACGTGTGCTGACTTTCTCCATAACTAGTTGCCCCCAGGGCCCCATGCTCTACTCCTTCACCGGCCTCAGCACCACAATGTCCCCCAAGGCCCGCCTCAACACCCTCCTCGGCTACACCGCCCCCTTCGACAGGCACGACTGGGTCGTCGACCGCTGCGGCACGAGGGTCGAGTACGTCATCGACTTCTACGCCGGCCGCGCAGATGGCGCAAGGGCCGCCGGGGGGAAGCCCAGCTTCTACCTGGACGTCAGGCCAAAACTAAACACGTGGGAGGGCGTCAAGATGAGGGCCAGCAGGGCCGTGGGGCTGTCGTGACGGGATCAAATGCGTAAAAGGTTCTGGTAGGTGGCGACCAGGGACGTGGTGAGCGGTCGTCCTGCTCGCTCGGATAGAATGGACAGGATGAGCGCAAGCTGGACCGCAGATGACTCTTGAGAAACAACTTGCTCAAAACAAGTTTGACGAGAAGTGGCTCCGTAGTATTTGACGGCGTCCAAGGCTTGAGAAACGGCCGACATTCACAAGATTGACGCCAAAAAGGCCGTCTTGGATGAGTATTTGGTGAATATGTTGGACAGACAATGGGGGTATCAACGATTTGTTTCGTGTATTCTCAAATCTCTGCATGGGTCCAAAAGATGACAGGCGTCACACATCTCCTCGTCTTCTTGACCTATGAAGGGGAACTTCCATCTCCGCTTTGCATACAAGCAGACATCTAACAAGACTATGCTTCTGCCGCTGCACGGCATTTTCCCATTTCTATGTCCTGCCACCAACGCCTTGCAAATTGACACCATCCGAGACTCTTGACATCAATCAGGCCATCATTGCCCCACTGGGGGCCAGAAAAAAAAGGGACGTCAGTCATGCTTCGCCTGCCGCGAAGGCGGTCGGTGGAGGAGCGGGCCGTGATCTTTCTCGCTCGGTATTGGCGGCACTGTTGTTGTTGGCACATCAGCAAGTTGTTTCTGACTGGTGAGTCGAGAATCGTATGAATGGGGAAAAGCAAATGCCACCGTCAAGAATTCGACACCGTGTCGCCTTGAGCCATGCAAAGGATAAGATCCCTTGCAGTGTTACGTTCCGCCGGGTCGCACTTGTCGCATAGAAACTTCCATGTTCCCGGATTCTGGCAAGACAAACCTGCCCGCAGCCTGTTCGTGAAGAGATGGCCGAACGAGACGAAAATCAGACCAAGGGAAGCCGAACGCCGAAAGCCAAAGGAAAGTCGAACGTGTCCTACGTGTCCTACGTGCCCTTGAGACTCTTCTCGCTGCCACCGACCCTGACCCGCACCGGCGACTTGGTCTCGACGGCAGCATTTTCCACCTCCCAGCCCTTCTCCCTCAGCGCGTTGAGCAGCGCCAGCTTGGTGTCACGGTCCACCACGCCCGAGCCAACCAGGTGATCGTCAGGAACCTCGTTCTCGTAGTGGCCCATTCCGCCCAGCCCATCCTTGAAGATGGCCGTGTCGAAGTAGTACGCGTGAGCAACGGCGTCGAACCATGCCATGAGCGGGTCGTTGTCCGATCTCTTCCCTTCCTTCAATGCGATGCGGATGGTGAAGCTCGGCCCCCACTGCCAGATTCCCATGAAGTAGTCCTCGGTATCAAAGACGTATCTGTGGTAACCCCACGGTCTGAAGTTCATGACATCCCCGTACCCGCCAAAATTGGCCGTTCCCTTGTACTCGGCTGTCCGGGATGTTACGTTGCCGTGGCTGTTAAAGATGATGGACTCGCGCTTGGCAACCTCGGTGGGGGTAAGCACGGTCTTGGTCTCGAGGAACTCGCGGAACACGATAGTGGCGCGCTGTCGGTTCAGGGTGCGCATCTTGACGGCGCACACGCCGCAGTAGTTGGTGAGGAGGTGGATTCCCACCAGCACCACCATCCAGCACCACACAGCCGTCTTGTCTTCGACCATTTTGACGAGTAAGGTACCGACCAGCATCCCCATAAGGCTGACGACGGTCTCCTGACTCTGCTCCTTGGCGTTTAGTTCGGCGAGGTTTCCGTTTGTAGCGAAATGGGCGCTGAGCGTGGCTTTGGATGCGCCAGCGGCGACACCACACAAAGATCGCAGAATGGAGGCGGTGACCATGACGGAGACTTTGGGCAGGAGGGGCAGGGCCGGGAGCAGGAGGTCGAGGAACTGACTGCAGTCGTTGAAGATATCAGCGAGGAAGCGGTAGTACTTGCACTCGGGCTCGATGGCCTGGCCCATACGGTGGGCAAACAGGATGGTGGCGAGGCGGGAGAAGGTGTCCTGGATGATCTGCAGGAGGAGGGCGGTGGTAGGTGTCTGGCTGGAACTGCCCACGCCCAGGCCCTCGAGGATGGCGCGGTTGGCGAGGAGGTTGGTGATGGAGGAGGAGAAGGCCTGCAGGGAGTCGAATGTCTGGTAGGCGAGGTAGTCGTCGGTCACGGTATGGGGGAAGCCGGCGGGGAGGAAGGCGTAGAGGATCGCCTTGGGGAGGGGCGTGTGTGTTTTCTCCTGGGCCCAGTCAGCGCAGCCGTCAACGAGCTCGCAGGGACAGAGAGCGGTGGAGGGTGTAAACAAGCAGCCCTGGGACAGCAGCGACTTACCACCTTGAGGCCATCTCTCTCGTTGCCAGTGTATGTGACAAGGACATCGCCCGACTCGTCAATGTCGCAGATCTTGCTCATCTTGGCCGGCGCATGGAGGTTGACGGGGCGCTGGGAGGATATCTCGGTCGACAGGAGCAGGAGCCGGAGCCGGGTTGCTCTCTGCCAAAGAGGAAGGGCTTTTCGGAAGGAAAGGACAGACACGAGTCGGAAGATACGGGTGGATGATTGCGGTCGGAAAAGGTTGCGCAAGTGAAGGAGAGAAGGAGAGTCAGGGTAATTAATCAAGACGGAGGACCAAGGAATATTAAGCTTTCGTCATCCTCCAGGACAGATAAGTATCGAAGCTTCGGGGCAGATGGACAGGCCTGCCAACCATGACCGAAAGCCTTGGGAGGATTTGAATCCCCAAGAGCTGGCACAGTCAGAAGAATGTTTCCCAATTCGGTCAATACTAGCAACCGATTGCTTAGATTGTCGGGTCTAGAATGGAGACTGGCCAGCAGTGACGGTGACGTCGCTCCTGAGAGGCAGGAGCTGCGATAAGGCTGCTGGGGAGTCCCGATAAGGACCACCTTGGCAGCTCCCGCAGGAGATCAACAGCACTAGCCTGGGGTGGAGCTTGGGCCCTGAGGAGACCCTGGATCAGACGAGCGAGGGTCCGAAGTGATTTGTGAGAACACTGAAAAGTGTATGGAGTGACAATGGTCCCAAAAGTAGTCAGACAAGAGGCGCAGGAAGTTAATTTGTGCCGTCGAGTGCCGTCGAGCATGAGCATTAGGCGCCCATGGCTGCCAGTCAGTATTAGGTATTGGTCTATCAAGCAGATATGGCTATTCATGTGGCTTTTCACGTACAAAACTCATGGTCAAGAACTGGAACTTATACGCCAAGGAGCCCATATGTGTCTCCTCCCATCTCCCTGGGACATATCCCAGTCGTTACTTGGTAGTTCGTGACCATGCCTCACCTCTTGACAGGCTCACCGCTCTCAGTGACCAGGTACTCGTCCGTCCTGATGGGCCCCTCCCCAACACCGGTCATGATGACCCTAGAAACACCCGTCTTGAGAGCGGTAGCCACTGGCTCCTCCAGCAGCGCCACATCCGCATTCTTCAACCCGGCCGCGCCCTCCTTCCAACCGCCAACCTCTTGCAGCAGCCCGTGGAAGGTGCCGACGACGGCAGCCTCGTCCTTCTCCAGGTAGTAGACCACACAGTTGGGGCCGGCGTCGAACGTGTAGGCCGCGACGGTGCGCCCGGCGGCCTCGTTGATCTTCTCGACCGCCCTGACGGCGGCGCGGGACACGTCGTTCATGTAGAAGATGGGCGGGTACGTGTCGGCGCAGCTCGCGTGGAACGAGTTGCTGTCGCGCATCGTCACCTCGCCAAACAGCTCGAAATCCCTCTCCTTGATGGCCTTCTCCATAAGGTCCATGTTCTTGGGCACGACGGTCGAGATGCGCTGGGCGAAGAGCCCCGAGGTGGCGACGGTCTGCTGCATGCCCGAGGTGGAGCTGACGCCCTTCTTGGCGGCTGACACGACCAGGATCAGGGCGCGCATGTCGGGCCAGTGCGACGCCTCGGCCACCAGGTCGGCCTTGGAGTCGGTGCCGTCCTCCTTGGAACCCATGCGCCAGGCGACGTAGCCTCCGAAGAGCGAGCGGCAGGCGGACCCGGAGCCCTGGCGCGCGATCAGGGACAGCTCGGAGGGGCTCTCGGGCAGCTCGTACAGGTTGGCGACGGCCCTGACGAGGGCGGCGAACCCGGCGGCGGACGAGGCCAGGCCGGCGGCGGTGGGGAAGTTGTTCTCGCTGACGAGCCTCAGGGGCAGGGCGCTCAGCTTTGGCAGCGAGGGGTCGGCGTCCTCGAGGGCCTTGCGGCGGGCCCTGAGCTCACGGAAGCATGCCTGGGTGCGGGCGCCCGAGATGTCGGAGGGCTCGCCGTTGAGAAGGAGGGAGTCGGAGCCGGGCGGGTAGGAGGCGCTGCAGGATGCGGTGGTCAGGGTGCGCAGGTCGGCCTGAGAGAGGGTGACGGAGAGGGACGAGTTGGTCGGGAGGTTGAGCTTGGGGTCGCGCTTTCCCCAGTACCTAGAGACAGTGAACCAGACATAAGGTCAGCAGGATATTGCGAGACGGGAGAGCAATAGGAAAGGCGAGCAGTCGGTGGGAAGAAGGGAATAGGGGAGAGAGGCCAGGAAGAAGGAAGGACGTAAGAATCGCAGACTGACTTTACGACGGCGATGTTGACGGGAGCCGTTGTGCTGGCCCGGTAGACCTTGTTGTCGGCCATGTTGATCAATGGGACTCGATTGTTTACCTTCCCTTGGAGCTCTCTCAGATCTCACAGAAAAACACAGCAGACAAGCACGAGGAGAGAGCGGGAGGAGGAATTGAGAGAACGCAAAGGCAGCGGTCAACGAAGCTATTATCCCGACCATATCGTCTGGTTGGCTTATGGTGGGGCAGCATGAAATTGGACCCTTCCCTGCCACCTGCCTCCTGCCAATTGCGAGGCCTGTGCTCTCGGCCCGCATTGGGGTCCAATCGGTAGGTAGACCGCTGTCTTACAGGTAGCCTTCCTCAACCCCGGTGCAGCTCATCGGACCCCGAAGATGCACCCGGGTCTCTCCAAATTTTGAAGCTCAACGGGGCATTTCCATGCGAGGGGCTGAGATGGAGGCAGCACCTCATCTCAATGTTGGCATTGTTGCGCCAAGAAATCCATCACAAGCAGTATGTGCCCGCCGTCCGATATTTCCCGTACACAAGGACATCACCCTCAACTCACAGTAGACCTCGCCATTCCATCAAGTGCGAAGTTCTCACGACGAAAATGACATGGCACTCGCTTACGACTCAATACTGCCTGCTGCGTCGATTGGGATGCCACTCAGTATTGGAATAAGATTCCCTCTGTTGCGTAACAACCAATGTGATGACGTTCTGTAGGAACTGTGTGGGTGTATTATCACGCTGAATATGATTTCAAACTTCCCTCCATCAACTACCTATCACCAAGCCTGAAGAGCACGCTCGTATTCTCCCACTGGTGCTTCCCAGTTGCCCCTCGTCACGAGCCACTTCGTGATAGCCTCGATCTCCTCGCCGACCCTCCGCAGCCCATCCAGCTCAAACCCGTCGCCGCGCACCTGCACGATCACGGTCTGGTTCTGGGGCCCACCCAGCCCGCAGTTCAGGCTCAGCCCCAGGTGAGGCCTAACCACGGCGCTCAGCACCTCGTGGTGGTTGTGCGGGTTCGTCCCCGTGGTCCCCAGCCCGGGCACCCAGTTGTACACCTGCGCCCCGATCACATCCGCCACGAGGTTCCTGCCGCCCTCGAAGCCGGCCATGATCTCCCTCAGTGGTGCTGCTGCGTGCTTCGTCAGGAGCGTCTGCTCGCTCTGCACTCGCCTTAGGAACCCCAGCACCGTCTCGCTGTTGGTCTTGCTGACCTCGATCAGGTTGATCACGTTCTGATACGTCGGCCCGCTCACGTCCGTCGCCTCGAACAGCTTCGGGCTGAGGGACGCCATCGCCTTGGGCACGAAGGGGAAGTTTGTCCGCGACGCCTCGTGGTTGGTGAAGAGCGCGTGCGAGTGGCCCGTCCGGTGCACGTTCATCAGCGCCACCGCGCTCTTGACCACCGCCTGCGCCGTGATCTCTGGGAACTCCTTGCGCAGCGCGTGGATATCGGGTACGTCGAAGGTGATTGGGATGCAGTCGTCGCCCTCCACCAGTGCGGCGTTGTACTTTTCGCGCGGTGTGATGAGGGTGGTTGGGAACAATGCACCTGCCTCAACATGCTGTGGCAGTGAGGCCAGCCGCCTAAGATGCCACTTTGTTGCCGCGCGGGCCTCGACCCCAGATCGCAGGTTGTAGTAGGAGTCGGCCCACGGCTTATAATCCACGTGGGGGTGCAGTTTTGACAGGATCTCCTCTGTCGAGGCTGCACCAGCCGCCATGGCTCCGAGGGCCCGGTCCATGTCCTCCTGAGTAATCTGGGCCATGGACGCGTCGATTACACAGTGGTGGACCGAAATCACCATCGCAGCGGTGCCGGTCTCTTTAACGTCGAAGAGCATGGTGCGGTACACTGGTCCCGGGAGCGTGGCGTAGTCTGGGTGAGGATGATGCTGCGAGAGGTTCTTTAGCTGCTCGACAGTGTCGAGCGAGCCGCCATCTTCAACAATCATGTCAAAGAACTTCGGGCTCTGCTTGATGACCACGTGGAGAGCGTCATCCGAGTTGAGCTTATTCTCGTCCCAGACGAGGAAGGATGCGAGGATGCGGTTGTTAATAACAACGGCCTCAAAGGCGCGGCGGAGGTGCTGGTGGAACTGGTCAGTGCCAACTTGCCCATGAGAGAGGGAATGAGTCTTGGACATTCATGGACTTACCTCTTTGTCGACCTTCCGGCTTGGGTGTATGGAAAAGTTGAAGTTCCAGCTGTCGTACAGCTTCGTCTGCGACATGATCGTCCCGAAGTCGTACGCGGGAATCACATCCTCGACGTCTTCCCAGCCAAGACCCAAGCTGGAAATCGTCTTGGTGACCAGCTCCTTCGTTGGCTCCAACAACTCCGGGTCTTCGATCAGGTGGACCATATCCTCCACCCCTGGCGTGCCCTCGCGAGCCGGTCTCTCGACGCGCACTTCTTGGGTCCCGTTTGCTTGGCCAGCTCCCATGCTCTGCAGCAACTCGATCTGCTTCTCAATTGTTCCTGCCTCTGCCATCGCTGATAGCGACAGGGCTTTGCCGGTCGTGCGCTTGATCCTGTCACGCACGCGCATCACCGTGATGCTGTCGGCGAACTCGCCAATCGGGGCGTCCAGCCGTATCCTCGAAGGCTCCAGGCCGACCGCCTTGGCCCAGATTGACCGCAGTTCTTCGGTCAGACTGGCATCATTCCCGGTAGCTTCGTTCTCAGCTTCTTCGCTGCTGGACAGGTGCTTCTTAACCAACGCGGCGAGCTTGGCCTTCTGAATCTTGCCGGATGTTGTCCGCGGGTAGTCCTCCAAGCCAAGTGCCTTCACCGGGATCACGTCTTCTGGCACGTAGAGAGTGCCCATGTGTTGTAAAATCTCGGACTGGATAAGCTCGCGAATATCGGGACTGGCGGACCCCTTGATCACGCATACGGGCACCTCGCCTGCAATTTCATCCCTGACGCCAACTATCTGCGGGATGAGCGCGTTCAGCGTGGGGTTCTTGCCCAGTATCCCTTCAACGGCGGACGGTGAGATGTTTTCGCCACCGCGAATTATCCTGTCAACAAGGTGTAAGTATGTGGCCACGACGTTGTGGCGTTGTTCGGGGATTTCTCCGGCTCACATGTCTTTGAACCTCCCTGTGATAAACGTCCGCCCCTGGTCGTCCATCCTACCGGCATCGCCAGTCTTGTACCATAGTCTCCCATCCAGCTCATACCAGTTCTCCTTCCCAACGCCGCCAATGTAAGGTCCGTCAACACTGGGTCCGCAGCCGTGGACTTCGCCTATAGAGTTGCGCGGGACCACCTCGCCCGTCTCGGGGTCGACGATGCGCGTGCCGAAGCCTGGCAGTGGCCAGCCGACCGAGACGTCGTCCCCGTCGACGATCTTGCTGAAGTCGTTCGTACACCCGCTGGAGATCAACAAACCCTCGGTACAGCCGAAGATATTCTCTGCGCCACCACCGCCGAGCTCCTGCGTTACGAGGCTCAGCGTCTCCGGGGTCAGAGACGAGCCTCCAAAGGTGACGTTCTTCAGGTCACTCATTGGCCTGTTGGGATACTTGGCCGCCTTGGCTGCAGTAAGTGCGTGCAGCATCGTCGGGACCATGATTACATGCGTGATTCTTTCGGCGTACATCGTCTCCAGCATGAGGTCGGGATTGAAAGCGGAGCCGGGGAACACAACGCTGGTGCCCAGGCTGAGGGAGCTGGTCAGGGTGATGAACCCCATTGCGTGGTTGTTGGGGAGGTTGCAACAGCTGCGGTCGCCCGCCCGCATGCGGCCCTCGATCAGTTTCCTGCCAGCAAGAGCCATGGCCCAATTCGCGTGCGTGCGATAGATGCCTTTGGGCAGCGAGGTCGTCCCAGAGGTAAACAGAACACACCCCCCTTGCTCCGGGACCGACGGGGTCAGGGTGCCGTCGTCAGCACCTGGGACGGTCTGGTCCATGAGGCTCTGGAAGGGGGTCCAGTCGGCATATCTGGTGGCACCAAGGACGATCTTGTGTGGAGGCTGGGGGAAAAGCCCATGCACGTCTATCTGGAATGCCAAGTGCTCGTCTCCGGCGACCACGACGGGCTTCTCCCCGTTGCAGACACTCAGGCCCGTCCTGACCATGTGCCTGACCTCTTCCTCGTTTGTTAGGTTGCGAGGACTGATGGGGATGATGATGCAGCCAAGTTTGATCGCGGCATAGGCAACCAGCACATACTCGGCGCTGTTGTGGCAGAAGGTTACCAAAGGTGCGCCGCCCTTGACGTCTAGTGGCCTCAATGCCCTGACGAGCCGATCGATGGCCCGGTTGAGACTTCTGAAGGACCAGCGGAGATAAGGGTGCTCACGGAAGGCATCATGGTCCAATGGCAAGTTTGGGATGCCGAACAACCCTGGGGGCTGATGGGTGCAAGCAATGGCAAGCGCGTCAGGGGATGAGCCGACGAAAGACTGGAAGTCACCCCAAGGGCATGGTGGCTTCTCTAAGCTTGAATCCGGCCAAGGACGGCCATATTCCTCGCTGAGGGCCACCACGCTGCCCATGGCTGGCAGAAGACTGAAATTCACGGCGAGTGTCGCTAAGAACGGAGCGGGAATAAGAGCACAAACGACGACAAGTAATCGAATTCGGAGCGCGAAGCTGAGTGCGCGAGGATCTGGGAAGATCCAGTTGGAATCTAGGGCTCTCAAGACGCAGCACTACTTTATGTAGACTTGGAAGCCAACACCACATCGGATGGTCGGACGAACAATGTCGACCGATCTCTCTGAGGGGTAGTGGATAGGCATATCCTGGCTTAACCACGATAGAACATTTTCTAAACCCGTGCATTGCAACAGTAACTGGTAGTGCCAGAACGTTGTGGGTAACATGGACCCGGGCAGAATACCGTCTAGTCTGCCGATGGAGATAGATGGTGCTCTCCGAAATCCAAACTCATTGGCTGCTGGCCACGCGGCCCGCCCCAGGCACGGTAGTCGTGCATATGGAGTCCACCTTTCGCGTCTTCGCTCTTTGACTCACGGCGCCGACATTCGACCGTCTGTAAGTAGTCAGTCAGGCAGTGAAACCCCCCCATGGCCAGACAGATATGGCCGCACGGGCGGCTGCAAGGCAAGGGGGATTATCTCCGAGTGAGCATGTGGAAACCGATGGATCTGTCCCACGGGCGTTTCGATCGGACATTGGCTGTGGTCGGTGGTTGCAATCTAGCAAACGTTGGGTGCTAACCCCCCCCCCCCTAAACGTTGTCAAAACTGGTGGTGGCGTCGGCCGTGGATCGACGGGGACACCATGCTAGACTAAACAAGCTTTATGGCGCCTGCATTAGCCTGCGGACCCTTAAAAGTGGTTCCGCCTGCCGAATGGCTCCAATCAGCCCCCTGCCTCCTTGGCCATCTGCATGTGCCCCTTTGGCTGGCGCGAAGAGGAGGATGTTATCTCAAGGGCGCAATACGCCTACTTTTCTACGCCTTATCCAAGGGCTGATGTGAGCGCTTTGATTTTACGCTTCTGACTACTCTGGAGATAACCAATGCCAGATGCATCACAGCGGCGAGTGGCGGCCGCTGCAGTGTGCTTTGTGAGATGCGACATCTCGCGATGGTTTGGAACTCTATCTTGAGGTTACGCGTGCTCCTCACCTAGGTATGCACATCTGCGACGTGCGGATATCCGGACTGAAAGGCGTCGGACTCGCACATGAGGCTGTAATCACTGGTGATAGATCCGATCCCGAGAACAGGCATCTTGTCATCTCGATACGCTTTTCAGCGCTAGGTAGTAACCAAGGGAAGTGGTACGACTCGGAGAGAATCAAATGATGATTATAGTGCATGGAGGAGAAACAGGAAGGCGATGTCGCTCAACCAACGCTACCTAGGTATTCGACGACAGGTAGGCTATCCCAGAGAGGTTGAAGATCACCCCAGAGGAGGGAGTCTATATCTTCCTTACCATCTAAATTAATTCAAAATCTGTATAACCACAACACCCGCGGGCAGCCCACCCCTTTTCTCCCAACAGCTCGTCACCGCTGGATCAAAGTCCCAAGTTCCCTGGGTGATAAGGCCCCCGACGTCCTCGTAAGCTGCAAACTCAGCTTCCCTCCCTGCTGGTATGTCCAATGAAGGATCTGCGCCTTGCTGTGCAGAGCCCACTCCCCTCCCGACGCGTCCGCGTCCACCTCCAACTCATCCTCGTCATCGGAGCGCCTGTAATGCAGCCAGGGCACGTAGATGACGACGTCCCCCGCGTCAGCAGCGTCGACATCCACGTGGAACTTGCTGGTCTTCAGGTCAAACTCCATCCTGGCCAGCCTCGTGCCGGGACCGAGCGACTGGACGTACGGCCGACACCAGGCCGCCGCGGCCCTGAACCCGGACAGGTACTTGTGCCTCGGGAACGAGCCGGTCTCGGCGCAGTAGATGGACAAGTCCTCGCCGTTCCAGTGGTCGCCCCACTCCTGCGTGTTGCACGAGCTGTACGCCCAGAGGGTGTAGCTGAGGAGGTGGTTGTCGCACCCGCTCACGATGGCGTCCAGCGCCGCGACGTGGCTGGAGTAGTCGCCGTCCCTGTACGCCTTGCCGCCGTCGAGGTCGAACGGGATGCCCGTCTCGCCGACCAGCGTCGGCACGGGGTGGCTGTTCTCGTCCTCGGCGCCGCCGTTGACGTCGTTGGCGAGCTCGCCGAGCTGGTCCGAGATGACCCTGCGCACCTTGGCGTTGCCGACGCGCAGGGCCCTGAGCTTGTTGCTCATGTCCTGCGGGCCGCGGAGCAGGGAGAGGATGTCGATGTTCCAGTACTTGTGCCAGTGGCCCTTCATGACGGTCAGGGCGTCGTAGAAGTGGGGGCTGTACGCCATGTGCTGGTGGTCCCCGTGCGATGTGATGTCTGACAGCAGGCTGTGTGGCGGAGGGTCAAAGACTGATGACTGGAAGAACATCATTGTTGCTGGTGAGTGTTTCCGTATCTCTGCGTTCCACTTCTCGTAATAAGACCTCCAGTACACTGCCTTCCAGTCGAATGGCTCGCCCGCGCTGCTTGCCGCCTCATACGAGCCGGGCGGAGGATGGTCAAAGTACTGTGGCTTTTTCAGCTCTCCGGTCCCGACATCCCAAACCCCGTGCTGCGCCCAGACACACTCTCCCAGCTTCCACTCGTCAGACCTGTCCCACTTCCACCTCACGTCTTCCCTCTTCAACCAGCAAGTCCTGCCTGGCGTCACCGTGACTGTCCCGCTCTTGTGTGGGCCAGTCTTGCCCAGCTTGAACCGGTCCACGGTCTGCTCGATGCCCATCCCTAATTTCATCGCTTGGATGGGGCTCGGCGTGCTCCCAATCGTCGCGCTTGCCCCCCTCTCCATGATGTCCAGATCCTTCCACCCGATCAGCCCGGGCTCAGGCTCATTCATACTATCCCACCCAAACTCCAGGCCCCTCAGGGCATCAGCAAGCCGGCCATATGCCGCCATGTAGTGGTTCTGGAGGTAGTCCTGGACACTGACGCCGTCGATCTTGCACCGCGGCGCAAAGTCCCTGCCCCCAAAAAAGAGCGCGAACAGAGTCAGCGCCGCCAAGCGGCTGTGGTTGCTCGTCCACATCATGTCCGGGATGGCGCGCGGGTCCTTGTCCTTCCCCCGGCCGCCGTGCGTCGTGTTGTCGCCACCCGTCGGCCACTCTGCGTGCCGCACGGCGGCATGCGTGTCCGCGAAGCCGTCCGGGTCGAGCCCGCAGGCGTGCAGCGTCCAGAGGGGCGCCCCGCTGCCGCCCGCGAAGCGCGACCACAGGTCCTGGTGCGGGTTGACGACGACGCGGAGGCCGTGGTCGTTGCAGAGCCGCACGAGGGAGGCGGCGTGCGCGATGTACCCGTCGTCGTAGACCCCCGGCCCGGCGTGCTCGAGGGCCTCCCACACGACCGGCGCACGACGTTGAAGCCGAGGTGGCGCAGGCGGGCGAGCTGCGCCGGGGCGTCTTCGAGGGTGAGTGGGCCCCCGAGGTACGAGACCTTGGCGTGGCTGTCGAGTGATGAGAGCTTGTAGGTGGGCTGGCCGGGGGGGGATTTGCCGTCGGCGAGGTTGACGCCCCTCAGGATGATGGTCCGGCCCGACTCATCGTGGAACTGAGTCGGCATGGTGTCGGTGGAGTGGTATTAGTATTGCTGGGTCGTAGTGCAGCGTTTCATCCGAGGCAAGCTGGTGATGACTTCCCATTCCAGGAAAGCAGCAGGCAAGGATGGTTGGTGGTGGTGAGAGCAAGGGGGGGCGGGCATTGGGTTACCACACTTGGAAGATCGTTCCATCAGGTTCAAGGCATGTTCGCCTTGTGTTGTGCTGCCTCGTGGGACCTGGTGACGTCAGGGAGGATTCCTCAACTTCGCGAGCGAGTCTAACCAGGTTCATCGTAGGGCTGAGATTTACTTGTATTGATTGCCCAAGACGGAATTCGGCATGGCCACTTGTAGCTTGATCACGTCTGCTGCATACATAGTAATAAAGCTTGACCGTTCTTGGCTGGCGGGAAAGCCTCAGCCGCCTACACCGACCTCTTTCAAGTCTTGGGCAAACAAACTAAGACATTCTGAAGGGCCGCCTACGGACGAATTTCGCGATCGATTGTCATGGTCAGATTGACCTCCAGACTGCATCGTTTGTTGTACTTGTTTTCTTCTCAGAAGACCGCAAAACGAAGCAGACTGGGATTTATTTTCCTCTCATGACGCGGCGTTCGACGTTCACGGGTGCAAATATTACCAGACGATATTCTTGAAACAAACATGCATATTATCTTTCCATTCTATGAGTCTGTCTATATAGGTAGGACATCTCTATAGTGTAATCCTACTCTTTCAACTACTCCCCGGGGTATTCATAATTCATGCCAAGCAGTCAAGCCCAACATATCGTGATGCGCATGCAAACAAGTGCGACGCGCGCATGTAGAAAACAAACAACGAGGGTATCAATACTATGCAAAAATTTGCACAACCTCAACTACTCAAATCCATCTCTCCTCCTCCAATTAATACCAATTGAGTGAAGACAGAGCTTATGCCATCACGCCGTTGTTCTGGGTCTCGGGGATGTCGCCCTCCTTCTCGGAGTGGCGCGCCTTGCCGCCGCTGGCGCCCTCGTCGTCGGACGAGTTGAAGCCGTAGCCGCGGGCCATCTCGGCCGTCTCGGCCAGGGTGAGGTGGGGCAGCTGCTCGGCGGCCTGCACGTAGCCGATCTGCTCGTCGAAGCCCTTGGCGAAGATGAGGTCGATCTCCTCGAGGGAGCGGCCGGACGTCTCCGGGTAGAAGAAGTACAGGATGGGGAGGAAGAGCATGTTGAGGACGGCGAAGAACCTGTGGTGGGTTTGTCAGCACCGGGTTGGCCTAGAGTTGCGGAGTGACCTGACGAGTTGTCAAAACTTACAGGTAGGTGCCCCAGCCAATCTTGGAGATGAGCACGGGGGTGATCATGACGATGAAGAAGTTCCACAGCCAGTTCTGGGTGGTCGAGAGGGCGTTGGCGCGGGCACGGGTCTTGAGAGGGTTGATCTCAGCCGGGTACAGCCAGGGGAGAGGCAGCCAGGTGGCACCGAAGAAGGCGATGTAGATGAAGAGACCAACACCGGCACCGATGGCGGCATCCGGAGTGCCAGGGATGAGGCAGGCAAAGACAAGAACCATGGAAAGCATCTGGCCGACGGTGCCGATGAAGAATAGCTTGCGGCGGCCCACGCGCTCGACGACCAGGAACGAGGTCATGGCGAAGATGGCGTACACAATCATGTTGACACCGCCGAGGAGCAGGGCCAGGTTGTGGGTGGTGTCGAGCGAGTCCTTGAACAGGATAGGGAAGTAGTAGATGACGGCGTTGCAACCAGACAGCTGCTGCATGAACTGACTGCCGGCACCGAGGAGCATGCGGCGGAAGTGCTGCGTCTTGCCGTTGGTGAAGACCTCCTTGATGGGGGTGACGCCACCCAGCTGGCCGGTAGCCCTGATGGCCTCGGTGATGAAGGTCATCTGCTCCTGGACCTCGTCGTGGTGGCGGGGCTCGTTGGCCAGGGCCGCCAGCACGGTGATGGCCTCGTCCGTCCGTCCGTGGGAGAGCAGCCAGCGGGGGGATTCGGGCAGGCGGAGCATCATGACGAGAATGACGACGGCGAAGACGCACTGGAAGGCGATGGGGAAGCGCCACACAAAGGCGTGAGGGCCGTACGTGCTGCCGTAGTCGATCCAGTACGCAATCATGGAGCCGACGGCGACGTTGCCACCCTCGATGCAGATGAGCTTTCCACGGTTGTGCGGGGGGCAGCACTCGGCCTGGTATGTCGGTACGGTTGAGGTGTTGATGCCGTTGCCTATTCCGGTTATGAACCGCCCTACTATGAACTGGGCCGTCGCGCCGTGGTTTGGAGGGACAGAGGCAATCTGGATGATGACACCGATGATCATGACGGATGCGCCGAGGAAGATGCACTTGCGGCGACCGAGCTTGTCGCCAAACATCAGGATGAAGAAAGCACCAAAGAAGCAGCCAACGGCGTAGATGGCAGTGACGAAGCCTTGCCAGTTGCTGTCACCGTCGACCTGGGGGAAATCGTGAACGAAGGGGTCCGAGTCGATGATACCGGCCATCACACCTTGCTGTTCTTCAGGTCAGCCTTGTCGACGACACGGTTTTGTTCCGGACGGGGTCAGCTTTGCACATACGTCGAAACCAAACAACAAGAAGTCGGTTGTCGCCAGAGCCGTGATGTATTTCTGCAGGGTGCTCCCGGACTTGCCCCAGTAGGTGGGCACGCCATGCTCGTTGTCCTTGTGTCCCGTGTGGGACATCCGTCTCACCACTTGGGCGACCATTGTGCCTGATTTGGGTGCGCAAACACTTGCTCAGACAATACTGGTGGATGGATGGGCAGGAGTAGGAAGGAGAGGGCCGTGGAGGCTTTGATGATCCAGTGTCCAGTACTGAAAAGTCCGGGGAGGAAAGGGGGGTGCTTTCCTGGGGAATCTGTTTATATATTTATGCGAGGACCACCACGACACTGGCCGCAGTATGTTGATGGAGGAGTACACTGGTACTTCTGCCTCTCCCTCCTACGTACTGTACCAACTGCTGGCGCCGTGTGTATGCGGCATGTCATCATGTGGGAGCAGGATCCATTTCTCCAGAAAAGGATGGAGCCTTACTCGGGCAAACAGCAAAAAAGATTTCACCCACCAACGTCATGGGTGTCCACCCTGGCGCGGAGGTGGGAGTGGGTTTGGACGTGCAAGAACGTGGAGAAGAGGACCCAGTTGTGCCCAGTGTTGCTGGAGCCGAACTGGAGTTGGACGCGGAGTGATAAGATGAGAGGTGAGATACTGAGATTGGGTTCCGAACCTTGGAAGGCCGCCCAACGGGACGTGCGTCCTCACCGCAGGGTCTGTCGCAGCTCGCAGGGTCCCTGACCGTGGGGCTACCGTGTGCGCCGGTACTGTACGTCCTTGTGGCGACGGGCGCGGCGGCCAGCAAGGCTGCAGCTAACACAGGGCAGCACGAGCAGGACAAGGCGCCGAGCAATCCGGACGGTGCCCGTGAGCGGGAGCAGGAGTGGGTACGGAATTGCGGACCATGTGGGCCCCATGAGTGCAGATCTTCCCGACGTCCAAGGTGAAGGGGGCAGGCGAGTGACACCAGAGGCTGGTCTGCTTGTGTCAACATCTTACCACTTGCCAGCCGGACAGTGGTTCACAACGCCACGTCCAAGAGGCCTACGGCTAGCCCAAGACCATGCCAGAATGCGCAGCCCCGAGAAATGAATAGGGCAGTTTTGGTCGCCGGCAAAAGCGCAGGTGGGCGTGACGGAGTCAGGTGTGCAAGTGACGGTGTTGGCCACCGAATGTTAGCGACTGATCGGTTTTGGCCGCGGCACGCCAAGGCCTCAGCTGCTTTGCGTGCCCGGGAAAAGCACACGGGCGCCGCTCGGTTGTTGTTCGGCGCTACTAGATATGGGGATACGATGTTGGGGCCCCGGTGTTGAAAGCCAAATGTTGGTCTGCTCGGACGGAGGCAGCGCAGTACGGCCTGTCAATGGCTGGAGGAGGATTGGAAATCTGGAGCAGGTCCGCTTTTTGCATGTCTCGACGGCTCCAGGAGGAATGCATACTGTCCGGACGGGCACAGTCAGACTGGACAGTACGGATTGCAGCACCCAAGGGAAGGCGGTATGTACGACAATGCAAATGCAGGCCCTTTACATGATGCAGGACAGCCCATCCAGACGTTACAGTAGCAGCTGAGGGAATTCGGACAGTGACGTCGTGGCCCACAAGTTGCCAAGGGGCGCCGGTTCGTCTTCGCGCCAACGCGTGCCAACGTCGTCTTTTCGAGACTGAAATGAGGGTGTCGACCTGATTCATGTGAAGATGCGCAATCACACTCATAGGCCAAAGGCCCAGAAGCAGAGGCGAACGCTTCAGGCCTCGTCCGGCAGCAGAAATTGCCCGCCAATTCCGTTCGTCGCGTCCTGCGACAACTCGGGAGGGATCTGCATGCACATGTGTGTGTACGTACGTATATGCTGGAGTGTGCAGTATACTTACTGCATTTGCAAGGAGTGCACAGTAATAGAACACGGTACGTACTACTCGTCCGTTTGATTGTCGTTCGTTCGTTCGTTCCCCAGCAGCTGGTGGTGGCCTGCACAAGTCAGGTCCCAGTCATCAGGGTCTCGTTGAATCGTTGAAATGCTCGCCGAGTCTGCTGGGTTCTTGACTTCATCCCTGCTGTTTGACAATCCCCAATCCCACGTGAGTTGAGCGACACACGGCCTTGGGGATGCGGCTGCTTTTTTCCCTGGTACAAGATCAGCAGCGTTGCATCTGCCTGCTCTGGGCATGGTGCGGCTCGTGGGAAGGCTAAGGGACTAAGAAAAAGGACGGGTAAAAAAAATAAAAAATCTCGAGACGATGATGATGACAAGCGGCCCGCAGGATTTGATTTGAGGTTCAAGCGTCGAGAGCCGCAGTTGCGTCATTCCCGCTGCTCGGCACCCAGCCCTTGCTCTAGCACCTAGCACATGCAAAGCTGACCGGGCTGGCAAGGTGCAGCCTGCCGGCCCTGTCTGTGTGGTCGGTCGCTTGTGTGTGAGAGACCCGACAGAGTTTGGTCCCCTGCCTGTTGTTGGCCTGAACGAGACATGATGTGTCCCACTCTGCCGCCTCTGCCCGCCCGTTGCCCAGCCTGCAGGGTCTCACAGGGCTCATCCCCGGTCTGGGCATTCCTCCCGTAAATTGCGGCCAGTCAGCACGGCTTGCTCACTGTTTGTGGTGGTCGAGTTGCTTGTCTGGGTCGGCATACCCTTTTGGACAAGCCGTTGACAAGCCGGCTCATAGCGATCATCGTCTTGTCCTTCTTGGCCGGCTGTTGGCTAGAGAACATCACGGCTGTGAAACACTCTCTCTGCGCTCTTTTCTTTTTCTCTCCGTGTGTGTATGGCCCTCGTCTCCTTCTTCAGTACCAGCCTGCCGGGCAGCCGGGTCACTGGCCTAGGTCACTCGGTGGTGCTTTTTTGCCTGGATGGACCCAGAGGGCCGGTTGGGTCCATGTCTAGGATAGACATCCATTCCCACGCGGCCAGTAGAAGCCGCCCCTGTTGATCAAGCAGTCAGGTCGATGGGATTGCCCCTTCACATGCCTCTTTGTCCAAGAATGGCAATTTGGCTTTAGTCATTCAAGTGGTTTGGTCAGGGCTGATCAGTGGAGTATCTCGGTCTCGATGATGTGGGCTGCTCGAGGCACAACGGCGACGAGCACGATGGCACGTGTGCAAGTGAGCTGACCTCGACGTTGCCATCGCGCACACTCGGCGCGAGGCCAAGAGTGTCTGTTGGCTTGTCTCGCAGCCTCTCGGGTTGCTCAGAAATCACGAGCCCGTGTGAGCATCTGAGCAAGTACCGTTGTGCTGCTTCGGTATACTCCTACTGGATATGCTTGTTCTCTACACCTGGGCTCTTGCTGTCGGTCTTCCTCCGAGAATTTCTCCCCCAACCGTGCTCACTTTTCCCCCAGGCTCGAGCTCTAGCGGCCCTGGCAATGGCGGGCGCCGTCTGGTCGTGGTTCAGACGTACTGTGCTTGATTCAGAATGCTTCAAAGTACTCGAGCCCAAGTAGTCCAATCCATCATCACAACCACGTGGTTCGAGCGCTGATCTCAGTACAGCTGGCGAACGCCTATTCTGACCTCCGCGTATGCATGCCTCGCGTGCCTTTGCATCTGTTCCCGCCAGAGCCACAGCACCCTACGATCACTTCTATCTGGGACGCCCCAGAGCCTTCAAAGTTGCCGCGCTTGCCCACTTGAGCAGGTACCGGGTCCACATTTGAACCCAGTGTAGAACCCAGTATACCAAGCATTGTCGTCCGACTGGATATCCAGCCGGTGGAGCCGCACTCTGCGGCCGCCGGCTTGGCACGCCGGCTGCCCAGTCTCGGAGAACAGCTCTGACGGGCGCCTACTTTACAAATAAACCGGATGATGACCGCTGCCCGCGCGTCTTGGCCGCTCTGCTGCAGGGGACGAATGTTTTTGCGATGGGTTATCATGCTGTAGTCACTTAGCACATCATCCTCCTTGGCCAGGGCAGAGGGACTCTCGGACGATGTGATTACAGGAATCGTACGTAACTTGGGTCGCAGATCCTGGTTGAAGAGCGGTGACAAATGAAAGCGAGACAGACCGGCCCGGCAAAGAAAGCCGAGATTGAAATCTGAGCCGCCCGCCGCTCCAACAACTCTCGGCAGGACGAGGACGTCGGCCTACTGATGCGTTCTTGTCATCACTGAGAACTGTTCATGATTTGTCACAACAGAAATGTTATTGGTAACATGGTAAGATGGTAAGATATTGCTACACAGTCCGAAACACTTTTAAACTCCTTGGAACCCACCCGCCGTGCCTTTGCCCATTTCCCTTCCCAAACTCAAACTCAAAAACAAACCTATGCCCTGATAAACTTTGGCTGATGGCTCAACTGGAAATCCTTCGTGGTCAGCTCTTCAACTTCAACCTCCATCCACACCTTGTCCTCGAGACTCTGTCTTACCTCGCTCCAATCTGCCATGCTGTAGGGCAAGGGGTGACCTGCCTTCCAATGCGGTGAGAGGGGTGGGATATCCCCCGAAAACGATTTGAAGTTCCCTCCCTCCATCTCCTCTTCCAGGACACTCTCGTCCTGGCAGTTCTCGAGCCTCTGCCTCAGGCTGTCGAAGTCGGGAAGCTTGGTGATGCCCGCGTCCTCCTGCCTCACAAGCCCGTACCCCCACAGGCCCGACCTGATGTCTGGCGAGTCATAGAACTCGTAAGCGATGCCGCCGGAGAACACACGCGTCATGGCTGACGAGTAGATGGCCGACGTCTCCTGGAAGATGCGCTTGCCGCACGCGCCCAGGTTGCAGCCGTACTGGGAGAAGAAGACGGGGATGTGTGCGTTGTCGAAGGTCTTGAGCTCCTGCTTGTAGCCCGAGATGTGCAGGGTTGACTGGCCGCACCAGTTGAAGTTCGCATACTAACGCTTGCATGTTAGCCGAGCCAATACTACCTTGCAGCGACATCTGGACAGTGGGGTGATGATGACATACGCAGAAGAAGTCCACCGTCTCGTCTTCCTTCCCGGCCGTAAAGTAATCAAAGGTTGTCCTTAGGATCAGCCTGCCTGTTGATGCACTGTACCCAATGGGAAGTTGTCGTTGGCCGGTTATCTCCGTCGCTGTGGCCATGTACTTCTTAACGTCCCGAATCACTGTCTTGATCATTGGTGCTAGAGAGGTCGAGTAGATCGTGCTCATCGCACCATTGGCGACGATGATGCCAAGCGTGTTTGGGTATTGCGCCATTGAGTCTATTGTTGCGAAACAGTCCTCGAGCAATTGTGAGTTGTATGGACGGAACGTTGTGGTGGTGCCCGAGTCGTCGCTCGTGCATGATGATGTTGGAAGGCTCTGTTGTCGGCGGTTAGCCTGTTGTCCCGGATGACCCGTGCGGAGCCTGGCTGGACGGTGCAAACTCACAATAAGAACATATATGCCAGCCTCTGCTAGGAGTTGCATGGCAGCATTGTGACTCCTTGAGCTATCAATGTGGTCTGCTGCCGGTATTAGGGCTTGTCATATGGTTAACAAGAGCCGAGAGGCTGGAAAACCCACATATGAAGAGAGTGTTCAGTCCCAGTTCCTTGAAAAGAGCAATATCTCGCTTGAGGTCGTCCAGACGGTCATCAACGAGGGGATCAAGAGGCCCCTCGCCGTGCAAGCGGTAGACGACGCCCTTGATGAGGAACTAGTAGCCGAGTTAGCAAGAGCAGCAAGACCGTATTGAAATGAACGAGCACTCACCCGCTGGTCTCCCTTGAAGAAGTACCGCCCCTTGGAGTGGATGGGGGTGACGGTGTCGTTACTCGGACCCTGGATGACGGTCATGGTTGGTGGGTTGCTGAAAGTGAGGTATGAAGAAGAAGTGTGTTGAGTGTGCTGCAAGGTTTGATGAGCAGTGTGTTGTTATCGTCAATCCGGATGGGTGGCGTCCGGGCCGGGGGATACAAGCACACGGCGCGGCCATTTTATATGTCGTGGCGGTTGGGTGCATTGGCAATGAGGGAATCGTGATGTCGTGCCGGTTTCATCAGCGTGCAGCACCGCGCTTCAGCAGCATCAGCGCTGAAGCACGCGAGATCCAGATCGAGTGCATAATCGACGACAATTTACGTAAATGAGCCTCTTTTTTGGCCAGTCCGTTGCGAGTTCTGGCAACGTGACGGAGGGAGTTGAAGCATTGACGACCGGGGTGAATTCATGTGACACGGTGAGGTTCTCCAAAACGCTCCCGGCTTGGGACGGCGGCACGGTTGCAATTACGTTATAGCCGTTTGAAATGGTTTCTCTGGGGTAATATTGGGGTAATTCTGGGGTAATGGACCCGGATGACTCCAGTCTTGCGTGTCATTCGCAATTTGTGCAGGCCTTCCACAATGTTCGAGACCTTCCAAACCCGACGCAAGCCTCGACGATTCTGTACCACAATACTATGGCCTTGATGGCCTAGGAGCGTGGGCGACTGTGTGCCATCTCTCGTAATCTACGTTTATTTTGGGCTTCAAGAGTGTCGGTACGGCCCGCCTTGTACCTCTTTCTCTGCAAATTCGCACGTCCTCGCTCCCCTCAAGCGGATCTTTCAGCTCTGAGCACCCAGCCCATGCCAACTAGCAGGCCGCGCCCAGAATTTAGTTAGCCCTTGGCGGAGCTGCGTGCATCGTCGTGATACGCAGAACAGTAGGCGTCCTGTTGTGTGAGACTCGTCACGCGCCCCTCGTCAGTACGTGGAATCCTTCGACTTGGCCCGTGTTGCCGGGTTGACCGTCACCGCAATATAGATGCCCAGGTGCCTAGTGACAAATTTGGAAACCAAGGGTACTTTTGCGTTGGCCGGCTGGCTCGTCAACGCGGCTCGTCGAATACGTGCTATGCTGTTGGTGCTGGGCGGACAGGTGCTCACCTGTCCGATGTCCGCCAGCACCGCCCAAAAGCAGTCTTACCCACAATTCGGTTCCAGCCCACATGACTCGATTGTTCGGCGCTTGCCAAGGGCGGTTGGACCCGGCTAACCCCTGAGAAAGCGGGTTGATAGCCTACGCGTTTACTGTATGTGTCTGCCCCTTAGACATACGTACAATATCTGCAGGTTCCTGGACTAAGCTGGAACTGCATTATCCCAAAATCTGTCTACTTCCCAAGAAATCATATTCCGGGGTAACTTGATCGAATCATTCCTCCAGCAATGGAATGCACACATGGCCGCTGTCTGAACACATGAAAGCAACCAAACCGCCTGCACTGAGAACGGATCAGATCAATTCTGGACCAACGAGCCTCCTGCAAATCAACTGGTCATCTCCCCAGTCATCACCGGACACTACAGATGGACCGGAGCTGCAATGCCTCCTGTTAGGGGGTTGTCATAAGACCCCTAATCTCACTCCTACCGGAGAGAACCGCCAACTTAAATCTCAACCTAGGTCTGGTGCTGATGTCTCATACGAGGGTTAATTTCCTTCCATGTAGTACCGAGCAGGAAAATACGAGACGTAGCAAGAGAAAGCCTCTAGACCTTGTTTAATGAGTCAAGTGAACAGCTTTGATGGCAGCCCTCGAACGCGAATCACCTTGCATCTCCGAAAGCATCGCCGACGTCAGAGACGCGGCTATGCTGGCCGCGGCCTGAAAACTTACTACCACCCTTCCTTCCGAGCAGACAAGCGGCGACTGATAATCATTGCAACTGAGCAGCGGATGACAGCCCCAAATTATGTCCATGTGTATTGGTCAGGAAGAATCACCGGTATGAGAACTACTAAATTTGTGTGACGTGACGTGACCATGTACACCTTATAGGAGGTTCCCAAGCGCTTATTACATGACTACACAAATGCCAGTGCGGTGATGGGATTTCCCTGCACGTGGGTTGCGAGAGACTCTCATGACAGCAGAGCGTAAAATAAACCTTTAGCGCATCCTAGGGGCCCTTCAACAAGGCCTTGCTCATGTGTGAAGTCTCTCACATCATCTCGAAGAATAGCACGATCCTCAAGCGCTTAGAATTAAGCTACAGTACTCCTCGTACTGAGGCTCAACTTGTGACGGCCTAAATCAACAGTAAGCCACAGCCACACAACGTGACTATCGGGCTTAGCCCTCGGTCCATCTTTTGAAGTGGTTGTTGTGTTCTGGTTGACAAGTAACTCTCTTCTATTGCTGGCCCCATCCCCATCACCGGTGTCTCGCACTCGGCCAACATCGATGGCACCTTCGCCGGATAAGATGACACCACAACTAGACGGAGGGCCACAATTCTGTCGAATGGAACACGTTCAAAACACCGAATCCCGAGTCGTCCCCGACACCCAGTTTTGCCAAGTTTCCTTGCAGGCACGATTAGTTATAAATAGCCTAGTAAAGCCACGAGGTACGTTTTCTTTACTTGTGCAGATGTGGCCGTCGAATTTGGGAATCTAATTACTTGATATGGCGCATGCATCAAGGATCTGTATCTTCCTCTAGCAAATCGTATCGAGGATGGTGAAGAGTTGGTGATTTGGTAGGGCCGAAATCGTGATTGGAGGGGCAATGCAGTGAGGGGCCGGCAATAGTCATCATGACATCGACTTCTGTATGAAAGAATCAAGGTACACTAGACTTCTAACAAACGCCCTTCGTAATTGGCACGAGGCAATATACCTAGTTTCTGCACAATAGAAAAAAGGAGGCAGCACAGTATAATGAGCATTTCGGCGGATCCGACGGACGAGCCCATCTTCCTTGACGAAGAGGTGTTGAAACAACCGCCGTCTTCCTTCCCAGAGCCCGAGAAAGGGAACGCCACATGGCACACTCTGCTCTCTGCCCCTGAAACTCCAAGCACGTCTCTCAGTGCCGGCGTCGCGGTCTGCCCCGCCAGTGGCTCCCTCGCCCTGCACAGACATGAGCAGGCTGAGATGTACTACTTCCTGTCCGGCACTGGCGAGGTGGAGGTTGATGGCAAGAGACAGCGCGTGGCAAAGGGCATGACGGTGTGGATTCCGGGAAATGCCGAACATGGTGTGTTCTGTGGCGACAACGAACAGTTGCGGTGGCTTTATGTGTTTCCCGAGGGGAGGTTCGAAGATGTGGTGTACCGTTTCAGTCACTCGCTGGACCAGGTCTGAAGTATGGCCACTCTGAGTCTGCAGAAAGACTTTTCTTGTGTCTTTGCCGGTTGGATGTACCACAGCTGACGGACAGCACGTAACTCAGTCCATTAACGACATTATGGCACGCCTCTGACGAATTTCACGATCGCGCTCGGTTTGCGCACGCGATTGATTTGTTGTTACCTAGGCTTCAGAACAGATGAATGGCAAGATTGATGTAGGAAGAAGGAAACGAGTCAAAGAATTGGAAGGAGCAGGGCCCTGCGAATCCGTGAACGTATCGCCGGGTGTCCATGGTGAATCACAACCACCCCTTGCTCATCTCGACTGCTTTCTGCCACCGGCCAAACATCTTGTCGCTCTCTTGCTTCTTCATCTTTGGCCCGAAGACTGTTTTGCCCTCAGTGTTCACCATGGCGAGGTCGTCGAAGCTCTTCCAGACCCCGACCGCAAGTCCGGCCGCGATGGCTGCGCCCAAGGCTGTGGTCTCGCGCATGGCTGGTCTATTAACAGGGATGCCAATAAGATCCGCCTGAGTCTGTATTTCTTGTCAGTCTTGTTGCTCCAAGCCGGTAGTACTGCCGTCTTCGTTTTAACACACCTGCATCGTGATGTCTGAATCACACATTCCGCCGTCGACGGCCAGTTCTGTCAGTGCGTGTCCACTGTCTTTCTCCATGGCTTCCAGGATCGCCTTGGTCTGGAAGCACGTCGCCTCGAGGGTGGCTCGGGCAATGTGACCCTGGTTCGTATAGGACGTGATTCCGAACAAAGTCCCACGAGCATCATCGTACCAATATGGCGCGTACAGTCCACTGAACGCAGTCACAAAGGTGCAGCCACCGTTGTCCGGAACGGACTCGGCCAGCTCGGAAATCTTCCTACTCGTGTCGACAAATTTGAGATTGTCAACGAGGAATTTGACACTGGAGCCTGCCACAGCGATACTCCCTTCAAGTGCATACATGCGCGACTCCGGACCGAAGTCGAAGGCGACTGTTGTTAGCAGACCGTGAGTGGAGAGGACGGGCTCAGGGCCGACGTTGTAGAGGAGGAAACATCCAGTTCCGTACGTGTTTTTGGCAAGCCCCGGTGTGAAACCTTTCTGCCCACTGCGAGACTAGAGGTCAGCCATCCTTGAATGATGATCCAGGCTTCACGAGTAGAAGAGGAACTGGAGGCTTCGTGCCTCATGATCGGCCCCCGGATGTGTGAAGTAGGTTATATGAGATAATAGGAGTATGCGGATCTTGCTTACACCAGCGCAGCGGATTGGTCACCCAAGTTTCCAGTAATCGGCCTCCCTTTGAGCGAGGTCGAACAGAGTAGTCCATACGCCGATGCATCGGACGAGCGCACAATCTTCGGGAGACAGATCTTCTCGCGGTCGAGGCGGAAGAAGCTGAGCAGAGACTCATCGTATTCCAGCGTTTTCAGGTTCATGAACATGGTCCGCGAGGCATTCGATGCATCAGTCACGAGGAGGTTCTTGTCTATCCCGCCGTTCAGCTTGAAGATGAGCCAGGTGTCGACCGTGCCGAACGCAAGGTTGCCGGCATCGTAGGCCTCCTTGACCTTGGGGGCGTTCTCCAGCATCCAGAGGAGCTTGGCGACCGATGGGTACGTCGACAGCGGCAGGCCGCACAGCGCGGTGACCTCATCAGTCCCAGGGCGGCGCTTCAGTTCCCTCATGAGCTCGGCGGCGCGAGTGTCTGTCCATACTATCGCGTTGTACAGGGGCTCGCCTGTGTGCTTGTCCCAGACCACAGTCGTCTCACGCTGGTTGGTGATGCCGACGGCCTGGATGTCCGCAGCTGAGTGGCCCAACTCCTCAAAGGCCTGCACGGCTCCGTTGATGCATTCCTCAACTGAGGTGACAATCTCCTGAGGGTCGTGCTCATGCCATCTATAAGTCTGTGTGAGTGACCTGCTCCCCAAGGGTGACGGACACAATAGTCATGACTCACCCAGGCTCGGGGTAGATCTGAGTGAACTCAATCTGGTGGGTCACTACAACCTCGCCACGTTGGTTGAAGATCAGAAACCGAGAGCTTGTCGTGCCTTGGTCTATGGCCCCGACAAAGGACTGGGTCGCAGTGACATTTGTACCATTCGTGCCGTTGGTGCCATTCAGGCCGTTTGTCCCATTCGTTCCATTTGGGACGTGGGCGCCGTTCGTCCCGTTTACCCCATTCATGATGCTTCGATGTGGTTGCAGAATCGGTTGTGCGGGTGCAATACTTTGGTTCCAAGGTGTAGTACTTGTCTGAGGACGTACGTCAGACAATGCGGGCTTTGAAGACGGTTGGCATTTGGGAAATGGTGGGAAGCATCCGGCTCTGGAGAAGCTGCGACTTGCGAACCGGCCACGGTCCCTTGGAATAAATCTACGCATATAGCCGGGTGTCCTGGGCAGTAGAGTGAAGAAACTCCGGACCACCCCCGCCCTCCTATTGGCATTTGGAATCTGGGGCAAGGGAGGAGGAGGAGGCAGTGACTTGGCCAAGAACGAAGCGCGATGCCCAAACCCAGTGACCCCTGGTTCGCGCGGCCCCATGGGGAACGTCGCATTGTCAAGGGTGAAATTCTGGGGAACCATGTGGGATCGGACTAGTCTTGCTAGATCGCAGACGGCAGTGGGACCATAGCGTGGTTCGTGTTGAAAAGAGGGGCCGCCATGGCGAGGCCATCCCAGCCTTCAGCCAACTGTGCCTCCCCGAATCCCGATCTCGTTGGCTCACCTGACCTGGAGAAGGCCATACAAGATCGCGACACAGCTTCAATTCCCTTGCCCATGTCCAATCCCCCTCTTCTTCCCCCCTCCCCCCCTGATCCCCCATTGTAAGACTTTGGCGCAACTTCGGCTCTTGGGATTCTTATACTTCCATTGGTACTATAGGTCTCGCCACCCAATGGGTGAACCTTCTTCAATCGGCAGCCTCACCCGACGCGCCATTGTTACATGATCATTGGTAGCTTCCCGCCGTTTGCTACGCCCGCTCACCCGAGCCATTGGTTATTCTCTACCACTTGCCCCTCATTCCTTCGTCGACCGCTCGAGATGCAACCTACGAATAGGGATACCGAGGTGAGGACGCAAACCAGACTTGCACTGCCCTCCTGCTTGGTAGCGTCGTGGTGTCTTGGGACAGCCGAGGTTGGGGAAGTGCTCTTCCGCAGAGTCCGGATCCAACGTGGTGGGCTCAGGAAGGTATCTCCAGATCCTCTATTGCGATCGGGTCGTGGATCGGACCTGCCCTAAAGCATCGACGGTCTTCCTGGGGCAGAATTCATGAGACTATCTCGAGGCTCTCACCCAACCGTGTGAGGATCCTAGAAGGGACGGGCGCATTGTAGCGCTTTTCGTATGATGGTAGAGTTGGAGCCAGAGGGCTCGTCTGCTTCGTAGACTCGGTCTAGGTGACGCATTGACGCTGTGACATCTGTCAACCGAGTTGATTGCCGTGGCCTGATGTCAACGCTCTCGTCCTGTCCCCCTCCCCCCCCCCCCTTGGCCATCGACCTATCTGGCTACGTAGGTCGAGCTTACGGCTGCTGCGGAAGGGCATGGGACCAGCTTCTAGAACTTGAAACCCCCCTACGGCAATGAACGACATCCTTGGGGTCCAGGTCATCCCCAAGATCGGGACAGCGTTGCACCAGGACCTCTGTTTCCATCTTTAGTCGAGGTTAAGCGATGACGGGGAGCACTCGGTGGTATTCCCTGGCCATTATATACACGGCAGTTCGTCACTGCCCCAGGCAATCCTGAGACTGTCGTCCTTCCCTTAAAATAAGAGTCTTCCCCTGCTATACTTTCTCGTGGGGCTGGATGTTGATGACCTATAATCCTCCCAGCACTATCGTTCGTATTCACCAATGGCCACGCAGACACAGACAGAGACCGAAATCGTGGAGGTCAAGGATGACATGATGCCGTCCTTCGAAAAGGCCCCGGACCTGCGCTTCACCAGCCTGAGCTCGAGCGGCCAGATGGTCGAGCACAAGGAACACCTCACTCCACCAGAGACACCTCGCGATTATGTCCAAGAACCGGAGCTTTTCTGGCCCAAGGTCAGGCGGCACCTACAGGATCCATTCTCAGAGTTCTTTGGTACAATGGTGATGATCCTATTTGGTGACGGCGTCGTCGCCCAAGTTGTCCTCAGTAATGATACAAGAGGTGATTACCAGAGTATTTCATGGGGCTGGGGGTTAGTATATCTCAATTCTTCTCTGGCTGAAAGACAGTCGCGTGGTCTCGAATGCCCTACCCAAGCCGATTGTGTGGCATCGCTCTGATTAAATCTCACCAGGCTGGGCGTCATGATCGGAGTCTACGTCGCGAAGAAGAGTGGCGGCCACCTCAACCCGGCCGTCACACTGTCGAATTGTGTCTTCCGCAGCTGCCCCTGGCACAAGTTCCCCATCTACTTCATGGCGCAGCTTCTCGGCGCCATGGCCGGAGCATTCATAGTGTACTTCAACTACAGGCTGGCCATCGACAACTTCGAAGGCGGTCCGGGAATACGCACAGTCGGGGGCAACACATCCAGCGCTGGCGTTTTCTGCACATACCCCGCCCCTTTCATGACCAGAGGCCAAATGTTTGTGAGCGAGTTTGTCGCCAGTGCTATACTCATGTTCAACATCTTTGCCTTTGTTGATGCTGGGGCGGGGGACTTGATCCCACTCTGCTTATTCTTCCTCATCTTTGGCATTGGCGCCTGCTTTGGCTGGCAGACAGGTTATGCCATCAACTTGGCCAGGGACTTTGGGCCCAGGCTGGTATCGTACATTCTGGGCTACGGCAGTGACGTTTGGTCAGCCGGTGGCTATTACTTCTGGGTAAACATGTCCCACAAAAGAATCATTCTCACTGAACCTACCCCCTCCCCCCCCCTCTCCACGCGCACGATTGCGTGCTGATCACTGGCAGATCCCCATGGTAGCACCATTTCCGGGGTGTTTGTTCGGGGCCTTTCTCTATGATGTTTTCTTGTTCAAGGGAGAAAGCCCCATCAACACCCCTTGGATGGGGCTTCGACGGTTCACGAAGCCAAAATCCGATTCGTGGGTTGGTGGAAAAGTCTAGTTGATGCGAGACATGTGCAGATTGTTAGATACTGGGTATCTGGAGTGAACGCAGTTGATGGAGCTTGAATCTTGCTTTTTTTTTTTAAAAAAAAGGCATCCTCGCCTGGAAATGCATAGAACATCGCAATATCCTTGATTGATGTGGAATGCATGCGAGCGAAAATTACAGATATGGGGGCTGCTAGATACAGACCACACTGTCACTTCGAGTTCTGGGATGCTTTGTAGTGCATAGTCTAGGAGATTGTTATGGGTTGGGCAGTGGGTGAGGGTGCAGATTCATTCTGGACAGTGGAAGAGGCAATGCACAAAGTAGAAGGGAAATGATAACGGCATTGAAGAGATTGCATCTGAGCTGCTGCTAGATTCGAAAGTAAGGCCCATGAGCGTGACCGTTTCTCGGCAGTGAGGAGCCAGTAGCTAATTTGGGTTGAGGATGGGTGCAGCGTGAGTTGTCTCGCTTTTATCCGGTCCGTGTTGATTACATAGGCACAGAAGTACATGTCTCACATGCGTGCTTGCGGACTGTCACCATGCATACAAAGCACTATGAATGGAATAAATTCGATCGCTCAAGTAATTGGAAATCTATCTGCCCTAAACCAATCCGTAGCCATCAGCCCATCTCAAAGTTGTATAAGTAGCCGAATACAAGGAGCCATTGTGCACCATCTGCGAGCCCCCTCTTCTTCACTGGAGTCCATCGGCTGAAGCTGGTCCGTTTACAGCAGATTTCAGCTCCTAGAAGGCCAATATTTCTCATCGACTCTGGGGTGCAATTGTCCCGACTTAGGTGGAACAGATGGGAATGTTGATGACCTGGCCGATCTCCAAGGCACTCGCATCCACACCTGGGTTGGCAGCGACCAACGAGTCCAAAGTGATTCCCAGTCTCGAGGAGATGAGGAAAAAAGTGTCCCCGCTGACAATGGTGTAGGTGTCAGACACTCCGGCACTTGCAGAGACACAGGTGGCTGTGCCGGCTGCGGTCCGGCAACTCTGGTTGTCCACCTCGGCCTCGCACACCTCGGTCGGGACGGCCAGGACCTGGCCGGCGAGGATAAAGTCGGGATTGGTCAGGCCGTTGGCCGTGGCGATGTTGCAGACTCCCGAGTCGAACTGGAGCGCGATCTTCTCGAGCGTATCCCCGGACACGACGGTGTAGTCTGTCGACGGGCCATCCACGCACGTGGTGTTGTCGTCTCGGCGGAGCTTTGGCACGGCGTCACCGCCTCGGTTTGTGACATCTGTGGTGCAGGAATCCAGTGTGCCGATGGTGGTGTCATTGAAGTGGAATTCAACCTTGGTCGTGGCTTCACAGCTCGATCTTTTGGCCAGGAGGTTGGAACCTGAGCCAGATGGGAACGCTGCAGCCAGGGCAGCCATGGCGACGACGGGCAGAATTGTGAAACGCATGTTGACAGTGATTTTGGCGAGATGTGAGATAAATGGTTATCCTAATTCCGACAATAGCGAGAGCAAAAGGATAGTTGTTAGTTGTTCAACGAGAGGCAATTAAAGAGAGACAGGGCACAAGAAGCCAACGACTTGGATTAACTAGATAGACACAACGACAGAAAGGAAGCTGCCCTTTGGTATTTATACATAATCGTCCATTGATGCTGGCAGTCACCCCCTTTTTGCTGCAGAGCCTTGGAGGCGCATGCGGCTCGGCTTAAAGGGGTTGGAGGCTATTCTGAGTCCGACGCAACGGACAGTATACTTCTCCGTGGACGCTGAACAGCGCCTTATCGAGCCGTATCTAATTGACTTTTCTTGTGTGTGTCCGTTTCAGGGAAAACTTTATCCTGCGGAATCCCGCCAAGTGCGCATGAACCCGGGGCGGCGGTGGTTACCAGAAGCGACCGTCGAGCGCCTCAGAACACTGGACGTCTTCGACTCGGCGAAGCCGGACCTGCCGATGACAAGGCGCAGTCACAGTGTTTCAGAAATGCCATAAGAGAGGCATCCCGCAGAGCAAGCAGCAATCCTGCGGTCACAATTGGAATCCGACATTGTCTCCTGGTTCGAAGTGCATGAAAAGTGTGAGCGCCAAAGAAAGCAGCATCACTTCAACATGTGGCGCCGGAAAGCGGTCGTTCGGAAAGAAACTATCCTTTCACAATCAGCCTGCTTTGTTCCATTGTGGATGGCCGCTAGGATAAGCAGGTGACATCTCGTCACGTAGGAAGAGACGCAGGGCCAACGCAATGACCAGCTGGCGGACGAATACACCTATAGTCCACTCCGTACATTGCCTCGTGACGATGGAGCCTCGATGTCCAAACTCATCCTGACTGTTTGATAATAGTCGATAAGAAGGGTTGAGCTGTTGATGGTACGGCTCAGGGCAGATGTAACGTCACCCTCAGGAGCCTCGAAAGAAGACCGCTGCTTTGGGAGTACTTACGAGTCAGGGCCCACTACTGCGGTGGTCATACTATCTGTATGAAACTGAGTATCGTGAACGTTGCAAATAGTGAGAAGGAAAAAGAAAAACCAAGTTGCTCTGTGCGATACCCCTGACACAGAGTTATGAGAGTAATATTCCAGGACCGTCGTAAAGAGCGGCGACGATATGGGCTCGTCGACAAAACATCTCGTATGGAAGAGACCGTTGTGTCTGCTATTTTCCATAGCGGTCTTGTTGATCGGAACGCAACCATCACGCAGCAGCAGCTGGCCGTCGCTTGCCTGCACTGTATCCTTCGCAGCATAGCTGATTTCCAACCCACATCGCTGACTACAGTGAGCATTCACTAGACGATCAGCTGCACAACAGGTATACGCCCTCGTCATGTGTACCGTAAATCGTTCTGGCACAACGTTCATGGCGGTTATGTGAGGCGCTTTGTGGACCGCAGCCTGCGGCATCGATTCGCTCGAAACGTGTGTTGAGTCGTCGGTGGTTTTCGGCGGAAGGTCGAGGCTGCCATTGAGCAGACATTGCAGCTCGAGCCTTGTTCGAAGGTCATGTTGTTCTTCGGGATAGTCTGGACGGTCAGCTGAAGAGAATGGAAACAAGTCGATAGGTTTCCTGGGTTTGTAAGGGCGACTCGTTGCTGGTATACATGCAAGGGCCATGCTCATAACAGGACGGGAGTCTTCGCATGCAAGGCTTTGGCTCAGTTGCAGAAAGCATACGGAAGCAGTCATTAGAGGGAGGTCGGGAGCCCAAGATGAGAATGAGATTGCAAGTACAGTATGACCTGGAAAAGTACGCGTAAAAAGCCGTTGACCGAGCGATAAAGCCTACGGCAAACAGGCTTGAGGACTGTGGCTTGATTCCAATGTTGCTCAATACATTGGCTGTGGAACCAAAACACCGGGCGAGGTACCTGATTTGATTAATGGGCGGTGAGGCCGGTCGAAAAGGAGGGCGACCCTCCTTGGTCAGGATGATTCAGGTCTCGCATATCCCTATTGTGGCTTATCCCTTATTGTGTGTGATGGCTGATGGATACCGTGAGTGCATCCTCCCATGGAATGCCTCTTCCAAGTTCTCGGGGCGATGGTGTGGAGAGTGCGTGATCTCGGCTGGGTGATCTCTTGCAAGCATTGACGGGCGACGAGGTTTCCCCGGGCAATGCGAGGGCCACGGGCCGGTCTTTGTTGGCCGTTTGCCCCTGAGGCCTACCCACCTGTGGAAATTGACAACCTCGCCGCAGCATCTGAATCAGGGATGCAGTTGTCTGGGCCGTTGCACCATGCCGAACAGATGTCCAAGAATCCAAGACTGCGAAGAGCTCGAAACGGACAACGGCCAAGATGCGCAACCGTGTTCCGTGTTCCAGGCACCCCGAGATGGTAGACCATTGAATTCAATGTCATTTTTTCACGGCGCGAAACCCTCTGAGCTGACATCATAATTCGGCACTTCTAGGCGCCCCATCCCTGGAATTCCACGGGGTCTACGCGGCCCTCACAGCCCTCCGGCCAACCGGGTGTGGGCCCTGGACCCGGAGATTTTCACGAAAATAGCAGCCGCGACCCACCGCAATCAAAGGCCCCGGAAGGTCCAGGAGGTCTCGACTTGGTCAATCACGGCAAGTGGTCCACTCATCACCACTCATTGCGGACCACAACGCCAGATACGAGATCACTCGGCGCCGGGAGATCAACAACTGCCCTGTTTTCGATCACCAAACGGACGACCTTTAAACGCGGTCGATCCAGCCCTCTCCTGGGCTGCGGAAAGAGGTCACCTCCCTCCTCACCCATCTCTGGATCATCACTCTTTCAAGATTCACGGGTGTCATTCTTTTGCATCATCCCCCTAAACCAAGGCAACACTATTATTTAATAATTCCCTGTTACTGCTCCCCTGTCCTGTCGTTACTCGCATAATCCCCAGACAAATCAACAAAGCCGTCAAGATGGTCTGCACCAAGAAGTCGAGTGCCGTCGCAGCCGTGGCCACCGCCGCGAGCTCTTTCTACGGCGGCTACAACGCCACAGCCCCGACTGGCGTGCCATCCCCGACCGGCTCCTTTGCCCAACCACAAGTGGCTGCCGTTGCCGCCCCGGACAGCGGCTCGTCTTCTGCCGCCGCCGGCGCCGCCAACTCGGGCATCAAAGGCTTCAACTACGGCGCCTTCTTCCTCGACCAGCAGGCCAAGGTCCAGAACGACTTCGAGTACGAGTTCACAAAGGCCCAGAACCTGGCCAACACGACCGGATGGAACAGCGCTCGTCTGTACACAACGGGTAAGTAGATACATTGCTTCCAGCCCGGGCTCCCCCCCCACCCCACAATGTCTCTCGCGATGTCGATCTCCCGCGCGATGGGTGTCGATCCCGTGACAGGTCATGAGTCTCTCAACAGGAACATGTGAGGCTAACTGGCATGTACAGTCCAACACGGAACCGCCAGTGACCCCATCCAGGCCATTCCTGCCGCCATCTCAACCAAGACCACCCTTCTGCTCGGCATGTGGGTGTCTGGCAGCGAGACGGCCATCGACAACGAGCTCACCGCCCTGAAGTCAGCCATCTCCACCTACGGCTCCGCCTTCACGGACCTGGTCGTCGGCATCTCGGTCGGCTCCGAGGACCTGTACCGCGCGGCCCAGGGCGACTCCTCCAGCCCTGGCGTCGACGCCGACGCGCTCATCAGCTACATCCAGAAGGTGCGCGACGCCATCGCGGGCACCGAGCTGGCGAGCGTCCCCGTCGGCCACGTCGACACGTACGACAGCTTCGAGAACGGCACCAACACCGCCGTCGTCGACGCCATCGACTGGATCGGCTTCGACGGCTACCCCTACTGGGAGAAGGCCAACGGCAACTCGATCGAGGCCGCCCACGACCTCTTCTACACGGGGCTCAACAAGACCAAGGCCATCTCCAAGGGCAAGCCGGTGTACGTCACCGAGACCGGCTGGCCCATCAAGGGCGACGACTTCGGCTCCGCCGTCGCCGGCCCCGCCAACGCCCGCACCTACTGGAAGGACATCGCCTGCACCCTGGTCGAGAGCAACGTCAACCTCTGGTGGTACAACCTGCAGGAGTCCCAGAACGGCCAGGCCAAGCCCGACTTTGGCATCTTCGGCGCCGGTGACCTCAACCAGGTCGCCCAGAGCTACGACCTCTCTTGCCCATAAATTTAGGAAGATAGCATCGGGTTCATAACAGGGAAGGCCTTCATAATTAGACTTACCAAAAACACTTGTGTGAATGAGACTGTATGGGGCTGTCGAGGAGGCTGAGTCCTATGTCTTGGTCCATCATCGCGAGATGTTGGAAGTGGAATACTAGCTCTTGTCCTACCTAGAATAACTTATACAAACCATTCACTCGATTTATCCATGCAAGAGACCCGAGTTATGGTGAATGAATTTGAGTGTGGATGCATGCAAATGACAAACTAGAAAATGGTCTAGTTTCGCTGGTTCGTGTACTCGTTGGCTCACAGGTAGTCGCTAAGGGTCCCAATGAGTACCATCACCCATTACCCAATATCCATAACCGAATAATTCCTGCCTTACTCATAACCGAGGAACAAAGTACCCTACTGCGTCTTCTGAGTTGCTGAAGGTACCTCACTTGCAGGGAGTCTGGCATGAGAATAGTGGGCTTATGCCGGGCCCGAATTAGGTGTACAAATGGGCCGGGCCTCTGTGACGGCACAGCTATATAGGCTACAATGGTTTCCAGAAGGCGTTCTGGAAATTTTGACCTTTTGGTTCCTTTCGCTGCAGTGTAGCGGCGCAGGGCGCCGTCTCAGCCCCGGGAGGATCCTTCTGGAGACAGATTCCGAGGAAATCAGAACCTTGTCGAAGTGCAACAGCAAAGCAGCAGTAGGAAGTCGTCACTGGGGCATACCGAGGCGAGTAGAGAGCAACAGGTAAAGGCTGGAAAAGGCTAGCAGCGATGATTGTACAGTGCTTAGCCGTCGATTGCACGGACGTTCTGGTTCACATAGGTCCTATAGCCGTCTATTCGTGGAGGTTGTGATGCAAGCGGTAGCCAGCGAGTGGAGTGCCAGCGCACGTTTAACATTGCGCACATCACTACCCCAGCAGGCATACTAGAGTGTAGATACTGGCGGTATTCGGAACTTGCCGCTGGGTAGAGGCGTCTCAGTACCTGGGCGAGAGACCGCGATGCCTATGTCTGCTCCCTTCTACTCTGAGCTGAGTGCAACAGCTGTGGCCGCACTGTAACCGTACCTGCATGGACAAACATGACGTGCATGCAGTAAACACAGGTGTGTGTGGTATGTGGGTGTGGACCGTCTATCACTCAGGTAGCATCAGTCTGCCACGCAGCATCGTGCAGAGCATTATCGCCGGAAAGAGGCTGCGGACATCACTGGAGCCAACGATGCCATTCTGCTACCACGGCGGAAGACGCACGAAGCACATCGTCACTATTCTGGAGTGAGCGTTGAACTGAGCTCTCAGCTTGGAAGTCCAGAAGTACCGATCCAAGCAAGAGGCAAACAAATAACGGAGCGCTCAGCAGCGACCTCGAGTGCATGTGGTTGACGGCGGCTAACGACGGTCAAAGTCCAGAACGCCACACCACAGCGGTCCAGGTCAAGCAGGGGAGAACTCATAATTACCGCCACCGCCGCAATCAGTACACTAAACGCAAGGGTGTTATGATACCCAGGAACCGACTGTCACAAATCAACTCTCGAGCTCATGTCGTTGCGTAATACTCTTACTCTTCACCGGTCGGCCCGCAGTCCCTGGGGATCTAGGAAGTCTCGCCCGTAGCAACTTGGGAAGACGAGTGCTACGAAGTACTTGGCAAAACCTGCAAGGCTCAGTACCTGATTGGTACTACCAGAACAGCATGGGCTGTTATCTGGCGCGCTGCTGTTGATTGACTGACTGGTTGGTAGCAATAGAAGATCGGACGTTATCCGTATCAATTGTCTTCATGATAAGTCCAACGCCGCCGGAGTAAGGCATGCTTTTTTTGGCAGGGAAATGGGCGTTGTTGTTTGAATGCGAAGGCCACTCGGAAATGATTCTGGGCGCGCGCATTACCAACCCCGAGACGAGAGGCGGGAGAGAGAACGACTGGCTTGACGGCCGCGTGATTGGCCGACTGGCTGTTCGTTGGGCTGAGTCAACTGGGTGGAGTGCCGCATGCAGGTTGGTGGAGAAGGATTGCCTTGGCTCACGTCACCGCCGTGGCATTGGTAGCGCACCTGGTCGGAACGGGGCAAGACATTTTCCTGCAAAAGGACCCGAAGGGCTGGTGGCACAGACAAACCGACAGCCACGATACCAGTCGTGCGAGCATCCTGACAGCCTGACAGGCAAGACCTGAGGACAGATAAGGCCGAGAGCCTGACGGGACGGAAAAGAGGAGGAAAAGACAGAGTTTCGAGGGCGGCCTCAACACGGCCGCCCTGAGGGGAGGGGACGGAGTCTCGCTGGGGAGAGCCTGGAGCGGCGAGGAGCGACGAGTATTTAGCTTACTTCTGAACCCCTCGGCGCTGAGCCAATTCAGTATGGCCCGAGGTCCGCCCGTCCATGCAATGCTAAGTTCACAGTGCCGGCTCCCATCCCGTCCACCGACGAGCATTTGGCGAAGCTTTCTCACGAGCGGGAAGACCACGCTGTTGCCTACTGGCAGGCTGGTGGATGCTGTGATACTATCTATATACGAGAGGAAGAATGAAGGACTCAGAGGACTCGGAGGACGAGTGGGCACAGGACCACTGCAGAGGACTGAAGGAAGGACTGGGAGCGAGCACCGTGTCACCATCACACATGCAGGATAGATCTACTGTACCCTATCTGCCTCACAAGCATGCAGGCTCCAGCAGCAACCTGGTCTACCCCGTGGGCTCCTCCATGCAGCAACACCATGCACACCACGCAAACCCACCCACAATTTCCCCATGGACATGCCTGACAGGGCCCGCAAGGGACTCGACTCACGTGCCCACTCTTCTCTTTGTCAGACAGGGAAGAGGCATGTAGACTGTGCGTGTTTCTTTGGGTGCTGCCTTGGGTGGCCTGGTGGCGCGGTGAAAATCCCTCGCTCTCTCTCTCTGCTGTTCTGGATCGAACCAACAGATACTGTGCCGGATGTAGATGGCCAGGTCTGGGAAATAAACAGACTAATCCAGAGCTGACGGGACATGGGCACATGATTGTTAGCCGGGCTAACTGGTTGCGTCCCTCGACGCCCCACCCGTGCGCCCCAGAGTCCAATCCAGTTCTTCCAGTTCTTGTTCAAGTGAGCCTAGAGTGCCAGTCGCCGCCGCCGGTTTCTGCGCCAGGGCTGCGCCGAGCCCACGCCGTCTGCTCAGTGCTCAAGGGTCCCGTCAGTTGGCAGTGATAAGCTTGCATTCCTGCCCCATCCTCGAACCCTGCACGCGGCCTTGGCTCCGCGCTCTGCCCAATGACGGCGCCCCCCACCACCCTCGTCTCATCAACAGCCGACAAGGATTAGCACGGGGTTGGGACCTGAGCCTGCTGATGCTACAGTACTCTGCTGCTCTGAATGCTGCTTCCCTCTCTCAATGCCTGTGCCGTGCCCGAGCGAGTGGTACCGCGGGAGCCAGAGAGGCGAGGCGTCTTGAAAAAATCAAGCTGGATTCACTTTTGCTAGACGACGCATGGATGGATCCAGCTAGCCGGGATGGTATAAGACATGACCCTGTCCCCAAAACTCTCTTCCTGATCAAAACCTCTCCTTGTCTTCACCTCTCCCACCTCAAGTCACTCAACCTTGAGCCTCTGTTCTGTTTGCTCTTCCGTTTAGCCCTTCTCCCTTGGGCCGTGACTGATCGTCTTGACCCGGTCTGACTTGATTGATCCTATCGCCGCAACAACACCACCACAACTCCCCATCAACCTCGACCTCGACCTTGGCCAAGTAACCAATTACCCCAACTTTCTCTCACATCGCGGGCGCACACGATCCCAGTGTGGCTCAGCATCTCGCGCATCCGTGACCATGAGTTCCTCCGACCACGAGAAGTCGCAGAAATTTGACGACGTCGAGGCCGCGCCGTGGCGCGTGTCCGACGTCGACTCGGGCGAGGTCGTCAACGGCAACGTCGACGGCCTGCACCGCAAGCTGGCCAACCGCCAGATCCAGCTCATCGCCATCGGTGGCTCCATCGGCACCGCCCTCTTCGTCAGCATCGGCTCCGGCCTGTACCGGGGCGGGCCCGGCTCCCTCTTCATCGCGTACCTCCTCTACAGCTGCAGTCTCGGCCTCGTGAACAACTGCATGGCCGAGATGGCCACCCTGCACCCCGTCTCCGGTGGTTTCATCCGCATGGCGGGCAAGTGGGTCGACGAGGCCCTCGGCTTCGCTGTCGGCTGGAACTTCTTCCTCTACGAGGCCCTGCTCATCCCGTTTGAGATTACCGCCCTAAACCTCGTCCTGGGATTCTGGCGAGATGATATTCCTGCCGCGGCCGTCATCTCGGTCTGCATCGTCCTCTATGCGTGAGACTCACCAACCCTCTTCCTCCCATTTCCCTCCCTGCCTGGGCGCCCCCCTGAGCACCGCTGGGTTTGACGCGAGTGATGGAGCCTGCATGGATAGTGATTTGTTCCTGTCTGCCCGGAGTGTGCCCCCCTCATTGATCGGGAGAGAGAGAGAGAGAGAGAGAAAGCCCTAGTTTGAAGCCACCGCTTGACTTCCCTCCCTTCTGCCGCCCAAGACCCCCCTTTGGCCTTGAGATGTATGATGCTAAATGTCCTCGTGTGCTAGTCTCATCAACATCGTTGCAGTCGGAGGATACGGAGAGGCCGAGTTCTGGCTCTCCGGCGGCAAGGTGATCCTCATCTTCATGCTCTTCTCCTTCACGCTTGTGACCATGTGTGGCGGCAACCCTCAACACGATGCATATGGCTTCCGCTATTGGAGCGATCCTGGCTCCTTCAAGGAGTGGCACACGACAGGCAACCTGGGCCGCTTCGAGGGCTTCCTCGCCGCCCTCTGGTCAGCCTCCTTCACCGTCGTCGGCCCCGAGTATATTGCCATGGTGGCCGCTGAGGCCAAGCGACCCAGGACGTACATCAAGACCGCGTTTAGGACTGTCTACTGGCGCTTCGGCATCTTCTTTATCCTCGGCGCCTTGTGTGTCGGCATCGTCATCCCCTACAACGACCCGACCCTGACGGGCATCGAGGAGGGTGCGAACGAGGCTGCTGGTGCCGCTGCGTCTCCATATGTCATTGCCATGTATGTCTAGCTCATTTCGCATCGCCACGTTTGGTTTCGTCCCGTCCCCCAGTCCTCTTCCCCGGACCCAGCTTTTTTCTAAACGCGGGGTTTCACCTCCACTTCAGCCCTCAGCCCGGCCTGCCAAACTCCGCTAATACGTAATAATTTCTCCAGGAACAACTTGGGCGTCACAGTCCTGCCCCACATCACAAACGCGCTGATGATCACCTCCATCTTCTCGGCCGGAAACACGTACACATATGCCGCCGTGCGCAACCTGTACGGCATGTCGCTTGAGGGCCGGGCGCCGCGCTTCTTCCGCAAGATGACCAACAAGGGCGTGCCCATCTACTGCTTCATCTTCGTCATGTGCTTCCCGTTCCTGGCCTTCCTGCAGCTCTCGTCCGGGTCCAACGTCGTGCTGACCTGGCTCGTCAACCTGATCACGGCCGGCGGCATCATCGACTACATCGTCATGTGCCTCACCTACGTCTTCTTCTACCGCGCCTGCGTCGCCCAGGGCGTCGACCGCAAGTCCTTCCCCTACTACGGCTACCTCCAGCCCTACGGCGCCTACATCGCCCTGGTGTTCGAGACCGCCGTGGTCATCTTCTACGGCTACAGCAGCTTCACGCCCTGGAGCGTCTCCACCTTCTTCACCTACTACACCATGGTGATCCTCGCGCCCATCCTGTTCATCGGCTGGAAGCTGTGGCACAAGACCAAGTTCGTCAGCCCGTACGAGGCCGACCTGGTCTGGGAGAGGCCCATCACCGACGCCTACGAGGCCAAGTTCAAGAACCCGCCGCTGGGCTTCTGGACCGAGATGGGCCAGATGGTTGGTTTCAGGAGGCATCTCAAGGATGAGTAGATAAATAGGCGGTTGGGACCGTCTCAGTCGCTATTTCGAGTACATATATTACTTGTCGTTCGTCTCGCGACAACACTTTACATACGTCCCACTCGCTGATGTCCTGCCCTTGCTTTGAAAGGACAGGAGTACACCCTCGTGTTAGCCGTGTCTTCCCGTAGTGCCTGTCAGTTGCTCGGCCGCCAGGAGCCGGCTGTCAAATGGCACGACGCCGCGGTTCCTCCGGTAGGTGGGCGGCGCTGGCTCGGCCTGCAGCGGCCCGTTCGTGGTGTCGAAAAGCTCCCTATAGTTGGCAAACTCAAAACGGCCGCGCCTGGAAGGGCGTCATCCCCGGAAGGCTCTGCGTCTTGTCGAGGATGGGGCCACCGCCGCGCACAGCCCAGAAGAGGTCTGGATTTGTGATATTGTTCGCCACGCGAAGCTCTCCGTCTGGTGTGACCACGAGGGCTTCCAGCCATTGACCCACCGGAGCCCGTGTTGTGCCGTCAAGGGCCCATAGCCGCCGTTGTGGCCCCAGCCTCCACCCAGTGCCACGGTTGCTTTAGTACCTATGCCAGCCAGCCACTCTCTGCCGAAGCCACACCGCACCCAACTTCTGAAGTGGCCACGAGGAAAAGAACTCGGCCGCTCCGCTGACAGAGAACAAGCCCGACTCGCCAAGCGCATAGTTCAGTGGTAGCCCTGCCCTCGCCGGACCAAACATTACAGCCGCCTGTACACCCTCCTTCGGCTGGATGACGTTCACCTCGGTATTCGGGTCTACCAATACCTGCCGCTTCTCAGTCGCAGTGAAGGATTCCAACACCCTGACGCCGTCAAGCAGCGAGAGGTCGATGAGGAGCCCAGACCCGGCATCGCTACGGGCCAGCTGGTCGTGGCCCGTCGTCAGGACGGTGAGGCGCATGTTGTATTCCGTGGAGAACTGGACCACATTCTGAACTTCGGTGATGGGTCGAGCCTGGAGTCGGCAATCAGGAAGCGGTCCACAGGCATCGCTTCCATTGGTTGGGACTATTCCAGGGAGAGATGCCTCCCACACCTCCTGGCTGGGCCTGTCGACATCGGTCTTGAGTTTGCGGCATGCGTGGGACGTTGTGGTGGTGGCTAGGACTGCGACTAAATCATGTATTGATGCTGAGAGGAGAGTCCCCGATAAGAGTATCTTCAGCAAGCATAACAGCAAGGACATATGCAGGTAAAAGATGGCACATGTAAACCAAAGGGTACTAGTAATGGTTTGTACCACTCGAAAGACTGATGAGCATACTGCTTATATAATTATAGTGCACTACATCTGAATCGAAATTTAACGAACATCGCTCACAAAACGCAATTCTTGTGATTTCTTGCAATGTGGAAACAGCGGAGTGTGGCTATATCAACTCTGCAAGACCATTCAATCAGACCTGATGTCTGTTGCTATCGCTAGGAACAACTTGAATACCGCCCCAGTTCGCTCCAGCCAGGCACCAAACCTCTGGACTCCCGTCGCCAAGGAAGTTGCAGAAATTTTAACTCAACTAGAGCTGTGAGATGCCGGTAACCTGAGGATACACATGCACATGGTGCATCGCACGAGCCTGGGTGCTTCCTTGGCTAGGTCCTAGGATCCCTGTACTGCCAAACTTCGAGGTCACATCTCCAGGGTTACACAAGATATCAGCATGTGGAAGAGTCCGCAGCAAAGCTTCCACTCATATTCTGGTGATGCATTCATACTTCTCATCAGCGGCGTACGTCTGTCGCCTGTCCATTGCAAGGTCGCTCACCGGCCCCGAGGCCCACCTTGTGGCAACATTCATGGCATCCGGGGTGTTGAACTTAGTCATCCCGTCGCCAGTCCCACAGGCTTCATGCAGTTGGTGCCATTTATTAGCCCACATAGCCCAAGTCGTCCTTCCGAGTCTGGTGCCGAATGAGCACCAACCTCAGCTAATCACTGCAGGGCCTGGTAGCAACCTGTCACGGACATCCGGTGCCGCTATCTTTTCGCGATGCTACCTTGACTGAGGTGTCATCTCACTCCACCCCGCAATCACATTACAAATGTAGCTTGTCATATATTCCATGCTGTTTCTCTCAACTGGCATCTACAAGATCGCTTGTTTTGATCAACAATCCATGCAATGACGTCCCCGATCAAACCACTTCGCGAGCCCTTTCTCGCCCCCTCCTCCACCCTCGTCCTCGTCACTGGAGCATCCGGCCACATCGCCGCCAACATTGTTCGAGAGGCCCTCGCCCTGGGGTACCACGTCCGCGGGACAGCACGCACCAGCGAGAAATGCAAGAAGACAGTCGCAGAACAACACAATCACCCAAACTACAGCACAGCTGTAGTCTCGGACTTCTCCCACCCGTCGGATGAAATTGATGCCGCTGTGAAGGGGGTCGACAGCATCATCCACGTCGCCTCAGACACATCCTTCTCCGAGGATGCAGACAAGGTCGTCAGCTCGGTCGTCGCCGGGACGGAGAACTTCCTGCGGGCCGCAGCCAGGGAGCCCAAGGTGAAGCGCTTCACGCTGACGAGCTCGTCTACCGCGGCGTTGCTCGCCAAGCCGGGCGTCGGGGGCGTCGTCGCGACCGCGGACACGTGGAACGACGAGGCCGTGGAGGCGGCCAAGATAAAGGGGACCTCCATCGGGCCTAACTTGTACGCGTATATAGTGTACGCGGCCAGCAAGACCCAGGGCGAAAGGGCGCTCTGGAAGTTCATGGAGAACGAGAAGCCGTCATTTGTCGCCAATGCCATACTTCCCGACTTCAACACGGGGCGGGTCGTGGGCTCTGCTGGTGCGACGGGGACGTTTGCCATCCAGCTGTTCAAGGAGGGGACCAGAACTGTGATCCCTCGTGAGTCTCCCTTCAAGTAGCGAGAGAGACTGAAAGTGCAGCTAACGACAGCCACAGAATACTTCATCGATATTATCGACGACGCAAGACTGCACCTTTGTGCCGCGGTGCTGGACGGGTCCCTCAAGAACGAGCGCATCTTCGCATTTGCTTACCCGTTCAATGGCAATGACGCCGTCGAGGCCGTCAAGAAAGTGAGGCCTGACGTGGACCAGTCGAAGCTGAAGATCGACCCAAACGAGCCGCGGGATCTTAGCAAGGTGCCCAACGAACTTGGTGCGAGGTTGTTGAAGGAATGGTTTGGCCAGGATGGGTACAAGCCCCTCGAGCAGAGTATCAAAGAAAACCTCGAGGGTATATAGTTGTTCGCGTTTGGACAAAATAAACTGCCACTGGAGATTGGGTACATCATTATTATTATGGATATTGAAAGCCCGAATTGTATGAGAGCAAGCCATCCCAATATACGACGGGAACGTCTGAAACTGACAATGTAGCCTAGAGCATGTACACGCCCAACGTTGACAGCATCGCAACGAAAGCAACCTGACAGAGTCTCTCCTTGTTGTCGTTGGCCGATTCACTCACCACTACAGTTGTCGGTGAGGCGCTGGTCTGACCACTCGCTGAAGCAGACGATCGGATCCCAGATGGAGAAGTGGAGCCCCAGCCTGTGGTAGGAACAGCTGGAGTGGGCGTGGTGTCATCTGGAGTTGGCGAAGCGATAGTTGAGGGGAGAACTGTGGCAGAGCTCCCCACGGAGGTTGTCTGGGTTCCTCCATCATCACCCGGGTATCCGATGACAGTAGTCGCCCCAGGCGGTCCACCTGGCAGCGGAACACCAGGTATCGGTGGGACACCGGGCTGTTCTGGAGATCCGCTGGCGGCCGTCTGAGCAACCACGTTGGAGATGACATCGTCCGGGACTTCGACGACACAAGGGTCAGCCTCGACCCCATTTGTACCCAGGCTTGGGCAGCCATCCAGGTTCGCCTGGACCCCTATCACACCTCCAGATATTGGACAGTCTTCGAGTTGTTCCCGGATATTGGGGCTCGCCCCTGGCACGACACTGAAGATGTTGCTGCCCGAAAAGTCAGTCAGTCCTCCTTCCGACTGCATAGACCCGCCGTCGCCCGAGCAGTTTCGGAGAAAGCCAAAGTCCCATTCCAGGCTGTACGCTCCTTTCAAAACCGCCAGCCGCAACACCCAGCCCCCAGTTTCCACTCAAAGTGGTTGATTCATCCTCGTAAAGATAGTAGTCCTCCGACCCAAAAGACACACTGCCGAATTCGCCTTGGTCGACTGATAGGCGGCCCGTGTCCACGATGCCGCATTCGCCCTCACAACCTTGGGCGCGCCGGATGCGCCATTCAAGGAAGAATCCAAAAGTCCATGCCGCGCTGGCGCCTTGCAGAGCGAAGACGACGGGGAACGTGTCAGCCGGGTTATAAGTGTCGTTGCGGGGGAAGACGAGATCGACAGCGACATTTGAAGGAAGAGTTATATCTTGTGCCTGCGAGTAATGAGGAGAGACAGCAGTCCGGCCAGGCCTAAGCCGTACGAATGGGAACCACTGTTGAGCATCATGACGCTGAAGCCAGAAGCATAGAGTACCTCCCAGGTCTCTGCGGGCAGTGAACTTACTTGGGCAGAGCCAGGTCTACACCTCCACAGGGGTAATAAAGGTTAAAATTTAAGGTACAGTCACATTAAGCCCCACCCTGCCCCACTTAACACGAGGTACCTAGTTTTCTTAGCAAAATATACATAATTTAAGGTATTAATAGTTTTCTTTTAAAAATTAATCGTTTTACCCTTTGCATTAATATATTTTTAAAGATAATTTAGCATTTTATAAGTTAATTAAAAAAAAAACCCTTATTAATTATATCTTAAGCTTTTATAATTACTTTATGCAGCTCTTTAAGGTTTAAGCTTTAAATATTATAATGCTGCTTTATTTAATCCTTTATTATAAATTAAACGTTTTTTATAAGATTTAAGTTTAATAAATTTATTAAGTAATAAAAAGTTAAAATACTTATTCTTTAAAGCATTAATTTTATACCTTTAACCTTATATAAAGGCGCTTTATTTTATTAAAAAAATCCTTAGCTATTTAATTTATAAGTATAAAAGTATTTAATAATAAATAAAATTTAAAAGTAATATTTATATTAATTAATGCCTTTATAACCTTTCTTTTAATTATATTTAAAAACTTTCTTTTGCTTATAAAGCAGCTTTAAAATATTTAGCTTATAAAGTATTAATAAAGTAAAATAAGGTTTTTTAAATTCTTTATATTATAAATTATAACTTATTATTTTTATATTAAATTATTATTTATTTATATTTTATTAAAAAAGATTATTTATTTTTAATTTTAAAAATTAAGCTATCTTTGCAAAGCTTATTAATAAAACTATATGGAAGCTTGCTTATTTATAGCTATATAATAAATATAGCAGCAATAAAGCCTTTGCATATAACTTAAAACGCATAAAGCTTTGTAAAGGGCTGCATTACTTAACGTGGTTTATCATTAAGTGGCATATTACCAAGTAGCGCATATTACTAAGTAGCGTACTTTTGCAATATTTATTAACTTTAACTAACCTTAATACCCACTTAATGTAAAGAAATTAATTAAATTTAACATTAATTAATATTAATTATATTTAATTTCTTATTTTTATTTAATTTAATTAATTTAAGTAATATAAATATTTATAATTTAAATAAAAGTAATTAAGTTTTAATAAGGGAATTATTTTTTAATGAAAATTGCATTAATGTTTTTTATATTAATTCCTTATTAATTTACTTATTTAAATATTAAATGCATTAAAAATTAATAATTATAATATTAAAAATATATAAAAAAAATAAAATACTTTTAATTATTTAAATAATTAAAAACTTTTAAAAAATATATTAAATTTTTTAAATTATATAAAGTTATATAAATATTTAATATCCTTAAAATTATACTTTATTATAAAATAAATTAATAATACTTTTATAAAAATATATATATTAATTAATATAAACTTAATTAAATTAAAAAATAAATATTTATTTAATATATTATTAATTAAAATATTTAAAGATTTTCTTTATAATGTTTTAATATAAAAAATATAATTAACTTTTTATTAATATTATATAATATTAAACTTATTAATAAATATTAAGCTTAATATTTTATAAAAATATATAATTTAATCTTAAGATTAAATTAAATTATTTTTATATTTATTAAAAAGCCTTTTATAAAAGTTTAAAAATTATTAAAAATTAATTTAAATTACTTTATAATATAATAATTAAATATTAAATTATTAATAATAATTTTTATAACTTTAATAAAATTAATATTATAATAATAATAATTATTATATTAATAATTATTATATATATTAATAAATATAAAAAAGTTAAATTTATTTAACTTAATAATTAAAAATAAATAATAATTATTAAATATATTAATATAATTAAATTATTAAGCTTACTTTTAATAAATAAATAAATAATAAAATTAATTTAAAATAAATTTAATATTTTAATAAATATATTAAGCTAAAAATATTAATTATTAAATATTAATTATAAATAATTATAAAAGTTATATATTAATTAAGTTTAATTAATATTATAAAAATAATAAAAATATTATAATTAATATATTATTATATTTATTTTACTTATTTTATTTATTAAATATTATATTATATTTATTTTTAAAGTATATAAATAATAATAAATTTATTTTTTTATTTAAGCTTTAATTAATTATATTATAAAGTTTAAGTTTTTTTTTATATTTAAAGTAATTTATAATAAAATTATTATAATAAAAAATATTAAATCTTTCCTTAAAATCTTAACTTTATAATTTTTAAGCTTAATATTTATTTATAAACTTTAATATAATTTCTTTTTATTTTTTTTTAAAAATAAAAGTTTTAAATATTTTTAAATAATTAATAAAGTATTTAATAATTAAGTTTTATTAAAAATAAAATCTTTATTTCTTAAGATAATTTCTTTATATTAATTATAAAGGCTATTAATTTAATAATAATATATATATATATTAATATATAAACTTATTATTTTAAAATATTAAGTTTATATTTTTAAAAATAATAATAAAGTATTTATTAAATATTAAAAAGTTATAAAAGCTTAAATATAAATTAAAAAAATATTTATTATTAAAGAATTTTAAGCTTTTATTTAAAAAAAAAATAAAAAAGTAATTAATTAATAAAATAAATAATAATATTAAAAAATTAATTTATAATAAATTAATTTAATAATAATATAATACTTATAATAAAATTAAATATAATATAAAAATTTATAAAAAAATAAAAAAGTTTAATTAATTAAATTTTATTTATATTATAATAAATTTAGTTTAATTAATATTAATTAATATATATTATAATTTAAGCTTTTGCTTATAATAATTAATTAATAAGCTTTAATTTTATAAAAATAAGCTTTAATATAAATATAAATAAAAATTAAATCTTTTTCTTTATATTTTAAATATTAACTTTATTTAAATACCTTTATTTTTATAAATTTAAGATTAGCTTATAATATATATTTAAAGTTTTTTTATATTTTAAATTTATAATATAATTATATAAAACTTAATATAATAAAACTTAAAAGAAATAATAATAATTTATTAAGTTTTTTCTTATTTTAAAAAGCTTTTATTTTAAGAAAATTTAATAACTTAATTAATAAAGATAAAAGTTAAGTTTATAATAAATAAGAAAGTAATTAATATTAAAAGGGCTTAATTTTTTATATATTTAATTAATTAAAAACTTTTTATAATTAATTCTTACTTTATATTAATTTTATAAAAATATTTAAAGGGTAATTAAAAAGCTTTTTAAAAAAGATTTACCTTACTTTTAAAGATTTTTTTAAATAAAAATATATTAAGTTTAACTTAATTATATTATAATAATGTTATAAAAAAAATAATAAATTTTCTTATTTATTTTAATTAGCTTTTTTATATAGTTAAAGCTTAAGCTTAATTAAATAATTATAAAATATTACTTATAATTAATAAATTTATTATTTTAATAAGAGTAAAACTTAATTATAAAAAATAATTAAAGATATTTAAGGCTTTTTATTTTATTTTATAATAATATAAAGGCATTTTTAATATTATAATAATAAAAAATAATATTTAATTTTAAAATAATAAAGTAATAAATATTAATATTATAATAATTTTAATAAAAAGAATTAAGTATTATATTTATAATTAACTTAATTATTATAAGTATAATTATTTAAATTATTATAAAAAAACTTATATATAACTTTTATTAATAAAGCTTAATAAGGAAAAGGTATTTAATTAAAATTATTTTTAATATATAAATTCTTTTATAAAATAAAGCTTAAAGTAATATTAGCTTAATATTAATTTAAGCTTAAAGTAAATTAATTAATATTAATTAATTTAATATTATAAAATTTTTAAAACTTAAAAACTTTTTATTAATAAAGTAAATTATTTATAATTAAATATTAATTAATTATAAGTTATATAATAAGTTTATAAGTTTAAAGTTTTAAATAAAAAAGTTTATATAAAAGGTATAAATTAAAGGATTTTAAGAATATTATTAATTTAATTATTAATTTATATTTAAATAATCTTTTTTTATTAACTTGCTTTAATTAATATATAAAATTATAAGATATAAAAAAGATAAAATTATAATAATATATAAATTAGCTTAATAATATAATTAAAGCATTATAAGTTAATTAAATAATTAAATAAAAGAAAATATTTAATTTATAATTAAAGTAATATTTTTTTTATTTTTTATTATATAATTAACCCTTTAAAAAGCCCCTTTTATAACTTTAATTTAAGAAAAAGAAATATATTATAATTTAAGCTTATGCTTATAATAATTAATTAATAAGCTTTAATTTTTATAATAATTATTATAAGGGTAATATATTATAAATATTGCTAGCAAGGCATATAAGCTTTATTATTATGGGCTAGCCTTGGGTTATTTATTATAAGGTATTTAAATAAAGTTTATATTTAAAGTATAAAAAAAAAGGTTTATTCCTTATTTATATTTATATTAAAGCTTATTTTTATAAAGCTAAAGCTTATTAATTAATTATAATAAGCAAAGCTTAAATTATAATATATTTTTTTTTTAAAGTTTTATAATAAGCCTTAAAAAGTAACTATATAATAAAAAATAAAGAATATTATAATTTAATTATAAATTAAATATTATTCTTTATTTAATTATTTAATTATATTTTAATACTTTTTAATTATATTAAAAGCTTAACTTATTATTTATAATTAATATATTTTAACTTTTATAATTTAATATATTAATTAAAATAAGTTAATAAAAAATAATTATTTAAGTATAAGTTAATAATTAAATTAATAATATTTTTATAATTCTTTAATATAAGCTTTTTATATAAGCTTTTTTATTTAAAATCTTAAAATTATAAATTTATTATATAATTTATAATTAATTAATACTTAA